CTTCCCCCACTCAATGCCAGAAATACGTGATGAAGCCTCAACGCGAGGGCGGAGGCAACAATTTCTACCGGTCGGCGATCCCGGAGCAACTTAAGACGATTCCGGAGGAACACTGGAACTCGTTCATTCTCATGGAGATCATCGAGCCGCCTGCGCTGGCCAACAGTATTTTGAGAAGTGGGAAGGTGGAGCAAGGGGGTGTGATTTGCGAGTTGGGCGTTTATGGTACTTGTTTGTGGGATCAGCGGAATGGGGAGGTCAAGTTCAATGAGGAAGCGGGTTACTTGTTGAGGACGAAGGGGGATAAGAGTGAGGAGGGAGGCGTGGCGGCGGGGTATGGGTGTATGGATAGTGTTGCTCTTGTTTAGGTGTTGGGGGAGGATGTGAAGGTTCTTGGATTGATAACGGTGACAGATGGCGCTGGTGTATATGGGGATGGACATGGACGGCAAGAGGAGCCTTGACAATGTCCGGTGTCTCCAAGCGCGTATATAGATGTAAATACCGCTAACCGTACCTGTATCTAGAGATATTTACCAACACCAACTATCCCCTTAAGGTCATGATGCGACCATGTTCATTCTTTTTCCGCTAATTACCACGTCTTATCCTCGTCTCTTTGTCCTCCCTTCTCACCAATACCCCCCTTCTCCTACCCTCTCCCCCAAGTCTACCTCCTCCCCTGCGCCACCTGCTCCGGCCACCCCCCAACAGCATCCTCCACCTCCTCCAAGAAACTCTGCGCATTATGCACCGTCGTCCCACCCAACACCACCCTGACACCAGGCACACTCGCATTAATCTCCGCCACCATCTTCGCCTCCTCATACGTCGCGCCTCCAATAATAAACACAATAATATCCTGCGGCTTATCCCTCGTCGAGCCCCCGCCATCCACAAACGGATACTGCTGCTCCCTCAGCTTGCCCTTGACCAGGTTCTGCAGCGTCGTCTCCAGCAAGGGGGAGTGCTGCGTGTACACGTTCTCGACGCCCTTGAGCACCTTGAACCGGTTGCCGGCGCCGCCGAAGATGCCGCTACTTTCAAAAATGTCGGCGATGCCGCCCACGCCGGAGCCGGAGCCGCCGGTGGTGGCGTGCAGGGAGGAGTGGTAGGCTAGGAGCTTGGCGACGCGGTCGGTGCGACGGGTGGGGACGCCGCCGGCGGCGGAGAGGAGGTCGACTAGCATGGGCAGTTGGCTTGAGGGCGATTTGGAGTAGCGGAGGGCGTATAGGGCGACGAGGATTACTTTGTTGTCCGGGGTTACGGTGGGGGATTGGATTAGTCTTTGGATGTTCTGTGAGGTCGGGGATTAGTATACGGCTATGAGAGGATGGAAGGTTGGGTTGGGCTTACCTTGAGGTCGGCGGCATGGTTATCGTTGCAAGCTAAGCTCTGCTCAACCTCGCTAACTTCGAGTAGGCTCTGGGCCCCGACTCTCCTGCTTAGCTCGGAGACCAAGGTGACGTGTTTGCTGACGTTTCCGGAGAGCTTCCTGAATTCGGGGTACTCCTCGATGAACCGCTTCATGTCGGAGATGGATTCGATGTTGGCGTTGTTCTGGGTCTTGGACTGGTACTGTGACACGTATTCCTTGATGTTGCCGCCTAGGTCACCGAAGTTGAGGTACATGTTCTTCTGGAAGAAGGGATCTTGGTCCTGTGAGAGGACAATCTCCTTCAGCTCAGCACGGATTTCGGGTACATCGCTGAGATCGACTCGCCCGTTGTGAATGCCAAGCAGGTGATGTACCATGGCCTGGTATGTCCATTGTGTGAGCAGTGGCGTAATGGGGTCCTCTCGCCTGTCCAGTATCAAGAGAATCGGTGGCGTGTCGACCTTGCGAAAGTCGAATAGCTGGTCCTCCTGGGTCATACAATATCGGACTTCGGATGCGAGCTTCTTAGCTAAAGGGCTGCTCTTTTGGTATCTGATCAGAGGCTTCTTCTTGAGAGATAACAGGATTGAGATAACGCCTTCGGTGCATCGTTGTAAGGAGTCGGTGTTCCAGGTATCGGGATTGCCGCTCCATATCCGATTCATAGGCAGAGACATGTTGAGTGAGAACAAGTCGGTGTTGATAACGACGTAATCCATAAAGTACTCCTGCACCACCTTCACAACCTCGTGATCGTCGGCTTCTGCTAGCCGTTCAAGCGCCGACTTTTTGACAACGTTGCTGAAGTAAAGGTGGTACTCTCCGTACTTGGGGTCTCGTAGCTCATCGATCAACAGGCCGATGGTGTCGGGATGTGGCCTCACGAAGCAGAGACAGCGCATATGTCTCATCTTCTCCCGTTTAGGATTGTCCAACCGATCGGTAAGGTAGACTTCATGGTTGAGAAGGGTCGATACGGTGACGGCAGCTGAGATACAGGGAACGGTGTCCTTGTCCAGCAAGAGCATCTTCATCTTGGCCGACGGCGCAGCAGCAGTCCCGGCGTTTTCACCGACCGTCACCATCTTGGTCACATAACCGGATGCTGCCTGTATCAGATCCATCTTGGGCGAGTAAGTGCTGTGATTCTGGGCTTCGGGTTTCGATTTATTATTCACAAAGCCTCTGCTGGTCCCGAACTCCTGAGCCCGCCAATGACTTTATGGGGCGCGGATAGATTTTCGAATTTGAGGCCGAAAATGCGAAGAGAATCAGTGAAAGAATTATTAAAAGTTAAAGATAAGATGGTGTTCAGTGGAAGCTTTGTTGTTTTGATGACGGGAAGGTCGAGCTGTTGTCAAGCTCAGGGTTGATGGAGGGGGGACTTGATGAGGAGGCACGAGAGGGTTACATGTGCATGTCGCGGGACAAGGGTTCCTACTATGGTGATGTGGGTAAGTAAAACCCGTGGGCCAGGTCGCTGACGATCACTGACCATATAGTGCACTATACATAGCCATGAAGCTTTGCTTGTAGTGGTCCGTGCCAGATACCTGACAAGGGGGTTTTACTTTGGCTCGCAACCGCAGTAGAGGTTGCGGCTGCAGTGCATCTTGCACAGCTAACCCTGGCCCGTGCGACGTCACCAAATGTGTCGATAAGATAAGGACCACCAAATGACGGAATGAACCTTGCTGGTTTCTTTTTGGAGATGCAGACGCAGTCAAAGCAGCTCTCCGAACATCGAACGGCTAAGAAACATGGCCGACATTTGCCCAGCAAGGTCGGAGCCTACGTGAGTCCAAATCGTCCAAAACAACCACCCCGCTGCGTAGCTAACTGACTGACCAACACGGCGTCTAACAGCCTGTCCTTCACGCAGGGTCTCATCCTCGGCCAGCTGTCGGTGGTGCTCTTGCTCGCCGCCTTCATCAAGTTCTTTATCTTTGGTGACCCTCCCTCGCCCGAAGTCGTCGCCTCGATCCGCGCTACCGACCGAAGATCCCGAACGTTAGCACACAAGAAATCGATCCTCGGCCTACGAGAAACCAACGCGCTCCAGCTTGTGCAGAACCCAGCTCTAAACAAGAAGCATGTTCTGCGCCCTGGCCCTCCCACCTTGACGATCGGGTCTATTCTCAGCAAAACATATTACAAGGTCGACAGCCATCAGCCAGAAAGTCTCGACTGGTTCAACGTGCTTATCGCCCAAACCATCGCCCAATTCCGCAGTGACGCCCAACATGACGATGCGATCCTCTCCTCCCTGAGCAAGGCGCTCAACGGTACTGCCCGGCCCGACTTCCTCGACGAGATCAAAGTTACAGAACTTAGCCTGGGCGAAGACTTCCCCATCTTTAGCAACTGCCGCATCATCCCGGTGGACGAAGATGGCCTTAGTTTCGGAACCGGCAAGGCCTTCGACGCCAATATGGCTACGAGAGAAGGCGCGCGTCTCCAAGCCAGAATGGACGTTGACCTTAGTGACATGATCACTCTGGCGGTAGAGACAAAGTTGCTGCTCAACTATCCCAAAAGACTCAGCGCCGTTCTCCCTGTGGCCCTGGCTGTTTCGATTGTTAGGTTCAGCGGCACACTGTCCATATCGTTCATCCCCAGCAACCCGTCCAACAATGAGCCCGCCAAGATGATCTTTACTTTCCTCGATGACTATCGTCTGGACTTTTCTATCCGCAGTCTCTTGGGGAGTCGTTCAAGGTTGCAGGATGTTCCCAAGATTGCACAGCTCGTCGAATCACGTCTCCATCGGTGGTTCGACGAGCGGTGTGTGGAGCCGAGGTTCCAGGAGATTGCTCTACCTAACATGTGGCCTCGCAAGAAGAATACCCGTGGCGGCGATGAGACCATCTCAGATGTGGAAAGGTCCATGAGCAAGGCCAAGGGAGTCGATATCGCTAAAGACGTGAGAGAGGAGGCTCGGAAAGAGATTGAGGCTGAAGCGCATGGGGGAGCCGATAGAGTGCCAGACTCGTTAAGATACAGGCATCGCCCGAGGGCAGAGGACGAGTTTCCCGGAGCCGGGTCGATGCCTGGTTCTATGCCCGGTTCTATGCCCTGAATGAGCTTACCATTCTGAGCTGGCTACGGGATACGAGATTGAAGAGCCAAGCACGTATGTAGTACTACTGTATCAGTACCACTTCATTTTAGTTGGTATAAAGATCAAAATACCGTCGAACGAATGTCAACAGTGCCTACGTGGGCCATGGCACCATGAGTACCTCTACGGCCTACCATGTGAACATGGACAACCCTAACCCTGCCCCTGGAAAGGCTCTGAACTATTTGTAGGGAGTCTGGCACTGTCTGGGTGCATTCATCACAACAGCAACGTAGCTGTGTGAGGCAGCCGATATGGACAGAAGGCCTTTAGTTCCATGTCATTGAACAATATATCCCCATGGTAGACCACTTCATCAAGACCATGAGACCAAAACTAGGTGCCAAACATGGTGTTTTACACTGTCCAGATGACGGATATGGACCCCTGCCCGATTTCACGTGGCGGCAGGCTTGTCACAAGGAGGTGGGGTCCGTGCACGACTTTTGCGCCTAACATCCGGTGATGTCACAACAAATTGGTGGGCAGGTACCAGTTCGACTTTGAAGCAATCTTCAGACGAAAACAAAACTTGCGAAAATAGAATTTTGGAGTCATCTTTATACTTGTTTCGAGCTCTTATCATCCCTACGTTATATCTGAATTCTTCCCAAGTTTTGGCTCTTATACATAGCCGGTCTTCTGCATATTTGTTAACGGGTACTTCCTCGACCGGCCCAAGTCTCCATAAAATTCGCTACTGGACGCCAGTTCATCGTGTCTTCCCTGCACGCGATCTTGCAACCTGCAACCCAACCCGAAACTCGGACGTGAGAAAGCCGACCTACATTCAACATTATCACCTCCGAGCGGCGTGCAATGGAGTAGCGCACAGGCAGAAGCAGAAGCGTCGAATTCTTGCATAATCTCCTGTTCTATTCACCCGCCTACCTACGCGCCATCTGAGCCATCAGACATTTCAACATGATACCTTTTATACATACTCGTACGACCGCATTGCTCCTCGGACGACGCCTTCGACTTGTCGCTAACATTCAATTCTTTGCCAGCCTTTGCCTACCTGGGCAGCAAGATCGGGGTCAGCCCGGATGAGCGTGAGCGGATTGTGTCCTTACAATATGGCTTCGATGGTTGCTAATCCTGACCTCCCAACAGTCAAGCTCATCTTTTCCTTCTTTTTGTCCTACCCGCTTGCTGGCCTGCTGAAGAGGGTACCGGATAGCCGTCCTCACCTCAAGAACTTCTTTTGCCTAAGGTGCGTAATTATACAAAACCAAGCCCTGACGAGTATATGTACCCAACAAAAAGAACCGCAGCTAACGTGTGTTCCCTCCCAGCATCGGCGTCTTTTACCTCGTCGGCCTCTTCGACCTGTGGGTTGGCCTCCGAACCGTCCTAATCTCCTCCATTGGCGCATACTCGATCGCAAAGTTCCTCCGGGGCTCCCCTTATATGCCATGGATCGGCTTCGTCTTCCTCATGGGCCATATGAGCGTCAACCACATTATGCGCCAGCGCCTCAATGACCCGAGCACGATCGATATCACAGGAGCGCAGATGGTGCTGGTCATGAAGCTTAGCGCTTTCTGCTGGAACGTGGCCGACGGTGTTCTTCCCGATGACCACCTCTCCGACTTCCAGAAGGACAGACGGCTCAAGGAGTTGCCGTCCCTGTTGGACTACTTTGGATATGTTTTCTTCTTCCCCAGTCTCATGATTGGACCCGCATTCGACTTCGCCGAATACCGCCGATGGCTCGACACCACCATGTTCGACGTTCCCAAGACTGTCGATCCTGCCAAGAAGCCTCCTACCAGACGTAAGCGCAAGATCCCTCGCAGCGGCACTCCGGCCATGATCAAGCTGGTCACCGGTTTCTCCTGGCTCATGCTCTTCATCTGGCTCTCTACCTGGTTCTCGCCCGAGTCACTCCTCGGAGACGGTTTCGTTAGCCACAACTTCATTGTCCGCCTGCTCTTCCTGCACATGGTCGGTATCACGGCGCGCGCCAAGTACTATGGTGTCTGGATGATGACGGAAGGCGCATGCATTCTCAGCGGCTTGGGTTACAACGGCGTGGATCCTACCACGGGCAAGGTGTCTTGGGATAGGCTCCAGAACATCCGCCCGATGGGCATGGAGACGGCGCAAAACACCAAGGCGTACCTCGACAACTGGAACATCAACACCAGCAAGTGGCTGCGTAACTACGTCTACCTGCGCGTCACTCCCCGTGGTAAGAAGCCTGGTTTTGGCGCCACTTTGGCTACATTCACCACCAGCGCTTTCTGGCATGGTTTTTATCCAGGCTACTACCTGTCTTTTGTCCTGGCGAGCTTCATCCAGGCTGCTGCGAAGAGTACGTCCCCCTTTCTTTCCCCCCTCTTTTTTCATGTTTAGGATACCGGACTAACCGCTTTGTCCAACAGACGTCCGCCGCCACGTCCGCCCCTTCTTCCTCGACCCCAAGACCCAAGCCCCCCTTCCCTCCAAGAAGTGGTACGATCTCGCCTCCTGGCTCGCCACCCAACTCACCTTTAACTTCGCCGTCTGCCCCTTCCTGCTCCTCGGCTTCCACGAATCCATCACCGCCTGGTCGCGCGTCTACTTCTACGCCATCATCCACACCGCCGTGGCCCTGGCCTTCTTCTCCAGCCCTGGCAAGAAGTGGCTGCGCAAGACTCTGGAGAAGAGGAACGCCAAGGCGGGCGTTGTCACCTCTGCTTCTTCTGGTGGACGCGGCCGTGGCCGCAGCAGTGACGAGAAGACGAACAGCAGCGTCCAGAACGGTACCGCTCAGGGTGCCATGGGAACGGCGGCTTTGCTTGGCGAGAACCTGAACCAGCCATCCAGCAGGGCGGATAGCACGGATAGCCAGTCGAGGAGCCCGATGCTGGGTATCAGTGGCGATCCCCAGGGGGAGCTGGATGAAGCGCTGGAGGAGTTTAAGAAGGAGATGGAGAGCAGGGTTGGTGGTGGCGCGTTTAGTGCGACGGGCCTAAGGGATTCGTTGAGAGGGGAGGCTAGGGAGAGAGCCGTGTGATCAAGATGGAGGGTAAGAAGTGGTATTTGTATGGAAAGGGGATGTTATAGGAGGTAGGATCTAGCGAGACATATCTCTTGGGAAGTGCTGTGAAGGAACGGTTGCGTATGGAGTCTGGGGCATAAGTGCGGGTGCAAACGAACGGGAGTGCTTGGCTACTAGTCTATCTTTTTGCACTGCATCGCGTTAGGAGTAAGAGGAAGCCTCTTTCTTTTGCTTACATCAATTATGTGTTTACCTAAAATTCCGGTACAAACATATTTCCATATCAATGGCAGATTCTGCCACCCATTTTCCTCATTTTGTCTCCGTGGTGAACAAAGTCCGCCAACAAACTCTATCCAACCAAGTGCTACTAACATTTACGCAGTACCAACGAGTTACATAGTCCTAAAAGCTACGCAATGGACCATTGGGCTGGGAGGCTATTAATTGCCTTCAAACTAGGTTCTCTCTCATCCTCATCCAGCTGTAATGTGCACTGCAATAAGCAACCACTTTTCTTCCTCCACTCTCCCTTGATAAGGGCGTCTTCCCCATCTGAAACATCATCCAATAAGAAAGGCAAGATGGCCGAGCGGTCTAAGGCGCCACGTTAAGGTTAACCCTTAATCTGAGTTAAATCTCATATCCGTGGTCCGAAAGGGCGTGGGTTCGAATCCCACTCTTGTCATTATCTTTTTCCATTTTTTTTTGCTTGCTGTGACATCCTCGTGTGTGGAGCATCCTGTTGCTTGGGTTTCTTTCCTTGGTCTTTTTAAAAATTTTTGCCTTCCTTTTTTGACTTTTTTTTTTCTCTGCTGATATTTGGGAGCGGAGATTGGAGTGTGATGGGCCAGGTTCTCACGGGTATCTGGATGATAGACGTCGTTGTTCACGGGTTGAGTCCTGTTTGATTTTGAGTGTGAGTTCTAGCTATGTAAAATGTTTTAGGAGCCGGAATCTTTCTTCCATTGACTGGATAGAACCGTGTGAATTTACAGAAAGATTCACGTAACACATTAAACATGGCGGTAGGCGAAAGAAGTTCGCATCAAGTAGAGGTCCAAGGAGGTAATTTCCTTGCATTGAGGGTGGCGGTGATGGGGTAATCTACCCAACATCGGATATCCAACTCGTAACATACAATGTAACCAACAAACACCATGGGTATCTATCTCTTCTTCATCGCGCAACTTTTGCCTGCATAATCACATACACCACCTCCCTGCGCCTCGGCCTCCCGTCCACGTCCACTTTTGCCTACTCGCCCCTTGCCTCGTTATCTAAAAGTCGAAAAAAGGTATTCAGAAACTTTGCGAAGCGCAAAAAAAAAAAAAACTCCGCCCCATCGTATGTAGCCCATATAGAAAAAGAAAGTTGAGAAAATGCCAATGATGGTATTGTGAGAGAGATCCGTCCGCGAGGAAAGAAGATTTCGTCATCAAATTGCTGAAAGGCGTGTGTGTGTGTGTGTGTGTGTGTGTCTTCATCGGCGTTCGAGATATCGAGAGAGAGATCTATAAGCTTTTTTGTTGACCGAGACGCGTGCGTTGGTGTAAAAGAGAGAATAAAACGTTGAAGAAACCGTTTCAGGCGTGCCACAAGATTATCGTCAATAGTTAATGATGATGATATGTCGTCGTATAATTCGTCAAAGATCTCCCGCCGACTCTGGAAAATGTGGTTTTCCCAAAATCAAAAAGATCGTGTCTATAGTGTATCGAGACGGAGAAAGAAGAAAGTTGTGAAAAATAAGAAGGGCGAGTACGGACGGACATGGAAACAAATGATGATAGAGAGTTCTATCATCTGATTCAGTCCGCCCAGCCTTCTTTGGAGCCGATGACGGCGAGAGCGATGACGGCGCCAATGATGATAAGTCCGACGAAGGACATACCAGTGTTGAGTCTTCGCCACCAACGCGCGCTGAGATATCTCGCTTCCTCCATAGGGCTGATGGGGTTGATTGAAGTTCTGAATCCGAGCCTTGACTTTGAGCGGTCAAACGGGTCATCGGGAGTGTGGGTACCCTTTTCAAGCATCTCGCTTTTGGGGTTAGGGGGCAATGGGAGGAAGGCAGCAACCATCCAGGCTAGAACACATCGGTAGTTAGCAAATGGAGAGAAACACAATTACATCGCCATCGCAGGTAACTTACCGAAAGGCATGATGAATCCAACAGCGAAGAGTACGATCTGGATGTTACGCTTGCCAGTGACGCCGCTATCAGCCGACCAGCTCGTGGCGGGAGGATCCCAGGCATTGAAACGGCTGTGGCGACGGTCCTGTCGAAGGTGTGGGGACCAAATGCTGGAAGTCTTCTCCCTGAGTGTGCGGAAGACATTATAGTCTGTTGGTGCAGGTTGGATCTCCATGGAGCCATGCGAGTTGCGTTGACCTTCTCTCGCGCGCTTGCGGGGACTGAACAGATCCATAGGAAAGTTGTCAGAGTTGGGCGATCCACTGTGTCCAATAGCAGAGCTCGGGCGGCTGTCACCAGCGTCTGACGCGGACGAGGACAGCAGACCGACCCAGCGGTGTTCGCCAGATCCATAGTAGACCCTTGCCCAAGCAGGAATGGAGTTTGTGAAGCTGTTTGTTCGGGACGGGCGCGAGCGGTGGCTGTGGCTCGAATGAAGATTACGGCTCCCGCTCGAGGTGCTGCTGCTATGCTGGAGAAACGAGGACAAGCCTGATCTTGAAGGGTCATAATGCAGGTCTGCAATTCCATCACCATGCTCATCTTGGTCACGAACCATGCGAAGTGGCATGGAACCACCTCGAGAATGGGCAGCCTGGGGCCTGGCGATACTGTCACTTCCAGCGCTATCAAGAGGTGCTCCGAGGGACGAGGAAATACTCTGCATCTGACGGCTGTGCGTAGAACCACCCCACCCGCCAGTGCTGTTGCGGTAACGGTGCTGGCTGCCCAAGACCGAGTGGGACCCAGGGCGTGAAGAGCCTGGTTCACTGTTGTATTCGTCTTCGGACATAACCGTAGACAACTGTGAGCTCCATCGATCTGGTGGTGGCTGGGTCATCGGTGGTGTACGGTGGATGATGACAGTTTCTTGACCGGATGAGGAGCCGGTCGATGACCCGGATGGGGACGGTACCGACCATGAAGGTTGCTCCCGGGAGGACGACGGGAAGCGGAAAAGGACCGGAGGCGTGAGTAAGGCCGGAAGAGGCGGTACTGGTGGGGCTCCGGTCGAGGAAACGCTTTGAAAGGAGGTGGAGCGGGCTCGAAGGTTCTCACGCGATCGCTGCTTGTAATATCCAAACTTTTCCTGGGATCTCTTCTTGGCTGGCCTGAGCGGTGGGACGCGAAGACTCTCTTGTGAATACCGGCCACCGGTGGCTACAGAAGACGGTGTCGAGCGGGAGTGTACGACAAAGTTCTCGTTGCTCTCAGAGCTTCCGGGTGGGCTAGCAGAAAGTGGCGCAGGCGGTGACGAGGCACCGATAACTTGCCAGTTGGCCGGGCCCGACGGAACGCGGGAAGTTCCCGATGGAAGGCGAGAAGTCTCGCTTTGCGCTTCCCAAATCGACCGGACGGAAGGGGATGCAGCGACCGGCGAATCCCCAACGACTCTCCAATTGGATTGAGCGAGGGAAGAGGCACCTGGCGATACGGGCGAAGAGTGACCTAGAACTTCCCAGTTGCCGTGGGTAGAAGATGGAGCGCGCGATGAGGCCCCTGGGCTGCCTAGAACTTCCCAGTTGGTTGCTTCGGTCTGAGGAGAGATGGGCGAGATGATAGGGCTGTCGAAGGATTCGGGTACTGAGGTGTGAATACCGTAAACCTTGTAGTTGGTCTTTTCAGATGCGATACTAAGACCAGAGACGCCAGAGATACCAGATGTAAAGGAAGGCTTTGGCGCAATAACCCTAGAGGCAGTCGGGGTCAAGTTGTTATCGCTCCGCGATTCGTTGGATGCTACCTCTTGTAAAGGAGCAAGGGGCGGGTCGATCGCAGGTGAGTTTTCGTGCGTGAGATCTGCGGTATGGGGAACTCTGCGTAGGCCACCGACCATGCGGTAGCCAGAAGAGGTCGAAGCCACGGGCACGGGACCCTGGATTAGTTGGGTGGTGGACGAATCAGGAGATTGGACGAAAGGTGCGGCGAGATCAGATGGAGCAGGTTCTCGGGCGGTAAGTGTGTTACCCGAGAAGGGGGTGCCGACGGTAAAAGGGGTACCGATGCTGAGGTCGTCACTCCATACGTCAACCGATGGGCGAAACGAGGGCGTGGCTGTGGATGAGGAAGGGATGACGGGAGCCTTGACGACGTCGGCAGGGTCCTCCTCGGTGGTGACGATTCTGAAAGTCTTGTCGGGGTTGAGGGCGATGATCTTGCGCTGTCTGGAGTAGGATCGCGGGCGAACTGTGGGTGAAGGCGAGGCTGAATCGCGACGGCCGCGACGGACATCCTGGGTGGGAGTAGATGATGCAGACTGGGCGTTGAATCGGGCAATGCTTCTTGAAACATCAGACAGCCTCCTGGGCAAAGGGGTCGGGCTGGTTGGATCTCGAACAACCGAGATGGTGGAAACGCCAGAGAGTCGCAATCCTGAAACTCCTTCATCCTTGGCCTTTGCCAATGACAGGGTCGACGTCGTAGCCGAGGACAAAGCAGAACCTAGGCTGCTGGTGGCCGTCTCGCTGATGGCATAACCCTCGACTGCTACCTCCTTCGAATCGGGACCTTCTGTGTGCTGAAGCTCCTCGCGCTCCTCGTCCGAAGTCTCCTCGACCAATGCAATGGTCTGGCGGCGCCCGAGCCGGTCATCGCTGGAATTGCCCGAGCGGCGCCCATCGGCACTAGAGTTGGAGCGGTAGACGGATGACGTCTGGCTGTCTCGGCGATCATCGTCGTCGGCAAGTCGGGGCGGCGTGTAGGGGACGACGCGGATGCCGGTAGTGGCGGTGCTGGTGGTGTTTGTTGTTGTCTGCGACTGCGATCGTTGGAGTTGATGGTGCATCGGTGTTGATGGGCCATGCCGGCTGGGTGGCGCCGACATGGCTCTCTCCTGACTTCTAAAACACCCGGTGCTCGAGGCCGGGACCTAGGCAATCCTGTGAATCCACTTTCTACGTCAAAACTGGTGCGATCAGGGCAATTCCATGTGCGATTCATGCGGAATCAGCCTTGTCGACGTTTAGAAGCAGTGGAGTTGTTGTCGTTGGTGTAGAACACAAGGTGGATACAGAACAGAAGAGTCGTATGAAGAGGCGCGATGCTGCTGTTCCTGTCGAGCACTTGACTGAAGATACTTGTTATCGTTGTCGTCGTCGGTAGTGGTGATGCTGAGGTTGGCGGCGGTGAGGCTGGAGTATGGTGGTGATGGTAGCTGTGGGTAGGTAGGTAGGTGGGTATGCTGTTGTGGTGGTGATGGTGGTGATGGTGGTGGACAATGGTTGAGGCAATAGTTTAAAACATTAACAGTAAGCCAGATGAGGATAGTAGTGTATCCAAAGAGTGACCGGTAGCGTAACCGAGAGAGTGAGTTGGCTTCTGGTAAAGAATGACAAGAAGGGGAATTCCCTTAAAAGAGTGTGGAAAAAGAATGCAGATATCAGACAGCCATGAGGGTGTGTGTTGGTGGTGCCCGTGGTGTTGGTGTGTAGCACCTCCTGCTGGTGCTTAGATGCCGATGGGGGAGGACAGGAGGAGTCCCGTCTTGGGTTGAGACGGAGACACCTTAGGTCGGGTCGCTGGCGCCAGAGACCAACAACGTGGTGCAGCAGGTGGGCTAGTGTATACCTCTACACGCAGGTGGAGGAGGATGGAAAAAGAGTGACAGTCGCAACTGGAAAAACAGGACGCAAAATCCAAAACTGAATCCGCGGCCGGGTCGTGTGTCCAGGTCACAGTTAGTTCGTTCTCCAACTGAAAGGTCTCCTACACTCACACACAACTTCTACGAGGCCGTACAACAACAGAAGAGCCCTTTTGCAGAAGGATTCGGGAAAAAAGGGAGTGGAGGGAAGAAATGGAATGAATGGAACGTGTGGAAGGGCGCCCGGTCCACGCTGCCGTGCCCACTGCCCGGATGGACCTGCCAGGAGCCAGTGGTGTAGCGCGGGTTGGCCGGGGTGCCGGTAGCCCGCGTGGAGAAACAAGACCTGACGAGTGGATCCGAGGCTCTTTCCGAGGCTGCCATTGGCCGGCCGGGCCTGCTAATCGCTAGCAAAAAAAGAGCTGCGGTTGCATCCTGTGCTGCCAGTGCGCCGAGAGCGCTGCAGCCCAGCAACCATTGATGCACCCGTCAGGAGGAGCACCGCGATATATCAACCAGTGAGCATCTCGAACCCTGTGAACAAAGAATGGCTGCAGCATGCAGTGAGGCAGGCTCAGCATACTACCGAAGCGGCAAAAAGCCAAAAGGCCCCAGGTGCGGTGACAAAGTGCAGAAATGGCACCAAATGTCTGCCAGCTTGTCCAAAGTTTAATTTCGCGTAACGACATGCCCGAGCCTTGATAGGGCAGGCGCCCGCAATAAGCTGCAGGCTACTAACTGGGGTGCTAACAAGTCGCCGAGAAGGCATCGCGACGGCAGCACCCAGCCATTCACATTGATTCCACTTTTGGAAGTTGAGCACTGACCCCGTCATGAACAGTCCGTCCCGGGCTGAACATGCCCATTGTCCCTCCCCAAAGAAGAACGGACCCGTTCCCAATTCCACGGCCTTGCCAGATGCTTGTCCAATGCCTGTCGTGTCCAACGTCCCGCAAATGTTTCGGCCTCGGCTGCCCTCGCTTGGACCTCATCTCTGGGGTTGCGCTCCGTCCGGGGGGGTGGGATAGGGAATGGACAAAAGCATGACGAACGGGAATGGCGTTATTCATGCCTCTCCATACTCGCCAACACCACGATGGACTTCGCTTCGTCCTAGTCGATCGCTGCGGCGCGGTATCGAAACTCTACAAGATCAAAGCCTATCAACTCCCGCCCAGGTCTGTCCCACGAGGTACAGCCGGGTTCGCCAGGCACAGATTGACGTTGTCTTGTCGCGAAAAAGGGCAAAGGGGCGACCTTGATTCGCCAATGAGGGGTCCACAACCACGAGCCCACGCGAGGTCCCTCGCCATCCGAAACACAAGCGTCACTGGCGACATTCCCAAGGCGTTTGCTTGAGGCTGAAGGCTAGACAGATGATCAAACCAATTGATGGCGCGGAGGGAGCGGTTAGGTTGTGGTCCAGACGGACCTGTTGGTTGCTGAGTTGACTCTGGTTTTTTTCTAATCGGCTGTATCCCTGACGGACACGTTGGAGATGCGACGAGTGCAAATCAAAATCAAGAGATGCCATCTCCTCCAAGACGTGGGGAAACGCGTGGTTTTTGCGGAGGCAATACGCAGTACAAGTATGCGTGAATCAATGACAAATGCACACCTCACCGGAAAGACATGGTGTCGATTATTCCGCTTACAGCCTTGGCGCTTTCTTCCACCTTGTCTCGCCAAGTCTCAGGTACCCCAAATTCAGTCAAATTGAACGTATCTCGAGCAATATCAACACTGCAAGAACGGTAACGCATCCACGAAACGCAGCTGGCCCAGTAGCCGGCTTTTTGCGCTGTTTTGCTCTATATCGGGTTGCGGAGGGTGGAATGCGAGGGTTTGAAATTTGAAAGTTGGAGTTTGAACTTGTAGCTGGTGCCGGGCTGGCACGGACTGTCTGACCCCTGTTTTGTAAGCGGAATAAGCAACTCCAAAGACATTGGGGTGGAATGGAAGGTGTGCTCGGTACATCCGGCATGCTACCGGTATACCGGTACCAATATGAGACCCTGAGTCCGGATGAAAGACGGATGGAATGTGAAGCCATGCGGCAGAGGCCCAAAACTCTGACGGCTACGGCCCGAACGTTAGTTGAAAGAAGAATCGCAATGCTCAAACAACAATGCTAAACTCAGAGGCATGAATGGTGGATCAAACCTTGACTTCGCTACAACCACATTCCATTCCAGTGAAGAGCGCAACCAAAAAGGAGACAGGTCCCACAACCTTCGTCTGAACTATCTTCAGCCCAAAAGGAGATCGGCACTGACACCTCACTACTGCAGGAACAACAGATCTTTCTCCAGTTGTCTCTTCACCACTCCCGAACCACATTTCAACAAATCCTCAAACAGGCTACTGTAGAAAACCTCGAAGCCCAACCTGAAATCTTGACAGCGGCTCCCGACAGGCGCGCAAAAGGCGACCGACATTTCGGCATCTAAAACGAGCTGTGCATACATACCTACCTTACATTACCTCCATCTTTTTCCAAAACCAAAACCTGCCTGCTGCCGCGCCTGCTGTACACCACCTTCGGCCTTGCTTTCCGGCGGCTAACGCTTCCGAACTGCTAAAGACAACATCTCGGCATCCAACAGCCGCCCCGGCGCGCGTATTCTGTAACAGCGCTTAAGCAGGGCAGGGACGGGGATTGAGGATTGACGCCAGTACCACCATATCACCACCACGTTGGGTACTGAAACCTTCGGTGCTGTCGTTGTTCGGCATCCCACAGATCTGCTGGGTAGCTGAAGACTACCGTATCGAATCGAATAACCAAGCCTCTCCTCCAGCGGGCTGATCCGAACAGTACCACTCCGGTCCAGTCTATTCTTGGCCGCTTCTGACGTATTCACCGTACTTGGACCTTTTTGCTTGTTTGGAGTCAAGTCTTCAAACGAGCGTTGAGGAAGGATGGTGGCCTTCTCAGAAGTGTTTCACAAGCTTAACCCCTGGTCAAAAGGTATACTCAACTCCCTCACACTCACTCACTTACCCTTCACTTACCCTTCACCACACCATCATCAACAACAAGCCGCACCAGCTCACCCAGTTGACCTCACCAAAGTAAACAAAGCTAACCCAACCCAAACAGACACCAACCCAATCTCAACCACCACAGCCTCCCTCCTCCTCGTCTCTTACGCCCTCTCCTACTTCCTCCCCTTCTACCTCTCCCCGCTCGCCCGCCCCTCACCCACTCTCTCGAGAGACAACCCCTCCGTCATCCGCGCCCGCATCCGCTCCGTCTGCATCTCGTGCTTCTTCTGCTGCCTGTCCACCTTCCTCATCCTGCTATACGTAGCCAATCTCCCCGTCCCAGATGCGCTTCACTACCTAGGCTTCTGGCCTTTGGGCCTCATCGAGTCTGCTCGGGCCTTGGGATTGACGGCGCTGTTGTTCGCTGGCCCGCTGTTCTTGTATCTGGTGGTGGATGATGGATGGCAGGATTGGGTCAGGGGGGAACCGGTGAAGGAGCTGTGGGGGGACATGTTGACTTGGAGGAATATTGTTGCTGTGAGTTTTCTTTCTATTCTATCCTCCTTCCTTTGTACCTTTTCTCCATCCCTTCCAGACATGCAACTAACAACAAAAAAAGGGCCCCCTAACAGAAGAACTCCTCTTCCGCACCTCCTCCGTCCCTCTCTTTTTGCTGTCTCCCCTCCCCGTCTCCCTTACCATTTTTTACTCACCCATCATCTTCGGTCTCGCCCACGTCCACCACTTCTACGAGTTCCGCCTCCAAAACCCGCGCGTTCCCGTGTTCGCCGCGCTTCTAAGGTCAGTCTTCCAGTTCAGCTTCACGACCTTATTCGGCGCGTACGCGACCTTCATCTTCATCCGCACCGGCAGTCTGTTGGCCGCGTTTGCGGTGCATGCGTTCTGTAACGGCATGGGACTGCCCAAGGTCTGGGGAAGGGTGGAGAGGTTGGATGGACGGGGGAGTGGGATGGTGTGGACGGTGGCGTATTATGCGCTGTTGGTGGGAGGGGCGGTTGGGTTTTGGAAGGAGTTGTGGGCGTTGACCGAGGGGGGGAATGGGTTGGTGCCTACGAGTGCGTTTGGGAGGTGAGGATGAGGGTATTTGAGGTGTTGATGTTTGGGGACTATTCGGCCTCTAGACAGACAGACGCCTTCGGTTGGGTTTTGCTTGTTGGCGATACCGCTGGAGGTATTTAATGTCGTCGTCGTCTGGCCGACGATGTATAGTGCAAGATGAAAGGCAGTTATTCTAGCCTGCGTTGTCAGAGGAGAACTATGAAAGTAGTCAAGTACTTCTATGTGCGTTGATATAATCTGTACTGGTGGGAGTCTTGTTGCGTCGGGGTTTGAAAGGTGAGCATCTAGCCTCAGTAAGGTAGAACCAGCCAACTAGCGAATAATGCCCTGAAAGTCGAAAATGTTGATATCGGCACGAGAGTGTCTAAGATTCTGAAGTTAGACTGAATAGACCTTACAGCAAGCCAAACCCCGGATCACCCAAGTAAACATCTCGTAGGCAGAACCATCGTCTATTCTCCATCAACTCATTAAGTGTACGTATTTAGTGCTTCTCGGCAAGGCAAGTCTCTTTAAGTAACCAAACATAGAGATACCATTGACCGCAGCAGATTCGTAGAGATGGAGCACATATACCCCTTCTCTGTCCCACAATCATCTATCATCCCGCAAAGATTTCATCCCACATCTGTATCCCTCTTTTCATCCCTTTTCTTTGTTTGACCCGATCCGATCCGTCTGCCGTCGCCTTCTGACCCGAGTGAGTTGTTACCGATCCGATCCAGCAGAAGACCAACGCCATTAACCATGCGCATACTGTAAGAGACACACACGACACACGACACACATATCTGTTGTGTTGTGTTTTCCATGGACCGACCAGGACCAACCAACACCAAACCATCCACCTTGCACGCCCACCCTATAGAGAAACGAAAAAGAAAAAAAGACAAATCCAATTCGTTTTTGTACCACTTGCTTGCTTGCGACTCTCTGACACCTTAGTTATATTTCCCTGTACAAATACTTATAGATAGCGAGAGAAGGAGAAACAACAAAAAAGTCTATGATGGCAAAATAGATCAGTGTACTAGAGGATTTCAACAGGGTTTTATAAGTATTGTACAGGGAAACAAAACCAAAATGGGAAAGACGGGCAACAAGTAGACAAAAGTTATTTCCCCTCTGCAACGAAGCCCATTTCTTGTCCAGCGCCTGGGAAAGGCGGGAAGGGGGGGAGGAGCCGAGGCCGAGCGGGCAAAACACCATCAGTGCTGCATCCACGCAAAACTCGGGCTTGAACAGCCTGTCAGATTCCCCGCCACGAGGCTGCAACGCGCTTCGCTCAGCACATCTATACTCATCGTTGCACCGATTCGTAAAATTAAGCATTAGCCGCATCCCTGTTGCTGGCCGCGCTAGCGCTCATGGTAGGCTGAGCGGTGGGCAGGATCTGGGAGACCTTTTGGCGAGTCTTGGACCAAGCGAAAACGAGACCGGAGACGAAGCCAACAAAGATGGCGGTGACACTGCCAAAAGTGACGGGGGCGTCGAAGAAGATGAGACCGCTGACGGCGATGGGAAGCTTGTTGAGGGCGCCAACCATGGAGTAGGTGGTCGAGGAGGTGACGCGAATGCACCAGGCCGAGCAGTACGAGATGAAGATGGCAGCGAGACCGGAGTAAATCATGCCGATGAAGAGGCTGTTGCGCGTCTCGACGGGGAAGTTCTTGATCAAGTTATCGTTGGACCAGTCCTCGAAGAGCAGGGAGAAGACGATCAGGACGGGAATGGTGAGGAGGTTGTTGTAGAACATGGCTAAAGTAGGAGATTCGGTTAGCATTGTACCTGGTTACCAGACAAACACCGGCCAGAGCCACTTACTGTCGTAGTCCTTGAAGTTCATCTTCTTGATGACCTTGCGCATGCCCAAAACGTACGCGGCGGTGCAGAACACGTTCATACCCATCCACGCGTATCCGGCGTTCAAGGTGGAGATAGCCTCGGTAGCCTCGGCAGTGTGACCAACGCCCTCGACGGCGGCCTGGATATCGGCCCAAGCAGCAATGACGGAACTGAAGACCATCAAACCGAAGGAGAGCAGAGCCATGGGGGTGACGCTGCCGCCGAACCAGAGGACCTCACCGTAGGCGATGACAATGATGGTCAGGTTCTTGAAGATGGTGTACACGGGCACGGAGAGGAACTGGAGCGCCTTGGTGCTGGTGTAGATCATACCCACGAGCAGCAGCGAGATAGGGAACCCTGTTGTAGTCCTATGTCAGCCGGCCGCTACAAACTTTCACAAGCTGAAACAAGAGGGGAAGGCTTACATTTCTTTGCCTTGGTCGAGTCGAAAGGAGCGAGGTTCTGGAACATGCCCAACTGCTTGCAAATCAGGATGGCAGCGGTACAGACCAGAGACTGTCATCATGGAGGTATTGTTAGCGTTCTCTTCTCCTTCTCGTCCCGCGGTTGGAGCCTTGGGCGTGGGTGTTTGTTCCGGCTGACGTACCTGCACAGCAAGGTAGAAGAAGTTGAGGTTCCATTCACTGCCGGACACAACGTATTTGTTGACAACCGTCATAGAAATCGACGACAGACAGTAGGCGAGAATCGAGGCACCGGGGCTGTGGTCAATCTTGTCGAAGTAGCCGCCGAAAGGACCAACTTGTTGAGGGCGGGTTGGCTGCGAAGATGACCTCCTGGCCAGGAAAGGGTCCTTGTCGGTCGAACCCCGACCCTCGACGGGGCCCAACTCAATGTCTTCGTTCCTCTTGTTGGCCATGGTGTGCTACTGAATTACGTCGATGTGGTGAGAAAAAGACAGGCGGGTGGTCCGGTAGGTAAAGGGAAAAGTTGCAAGTTGCGAAATGCAGCGACGGTCGAAAAGACGGGTCGGGTGGGATGCGCGCGGGCTGACCGCCTTAGGTTGGAACGAGCGAACCGAAGACCAACAAGGTACCGACCGTATTAGTCGGTGCGCTAGTCGCAAAAGCCGTGCAGTAGGTGGGAAAAGAATGAAGGTAGATGCGGCCGTTCACGCTGATACCATTCCAGAACCGAAAACAGATTTACAAAGCCTTGCTGGTTGCCAAGAGCAAGAGCAAGCGAAGGGAACTTGGGGATGTCTGGCGAAAGGCGACAGGACTTGAACAACTTCTTCTACGAGCACAGAGCGCCAGCGACTTCAGACGCGTGTCAGAAAAAGGGTTTGGAAGAATTCCTGTCAAGTTAAATTGCCAGATGCGAAACCCGCCCGCTCCCCACACCAATCAGGCTTGGCGCCTCGACACTCCAGTGGTCCGCGCTCCCCCACACAACCCCTTTTCCTTGCCTTGACTTCCCTGAGAGCGGACACTGTCCCGCAACTGTCACTCTGCCCCTTGTCACCTGCCAAGCCGTGAACCGTACCCCTTAAGCCTACAGCATCCTTGACCAATCAGCTTTGAGCAGCTGCCATCAGATTCATTGATGAGGCCATTCGCATTCCTGTCGGCTGGAAAAGCATGTGCAGAGCATGTAGAGTGTATATCAAAAATGCTACTACTATTTACTACCAAAACGGTGACGGGCGTGCTCCAAGACCAGCACAATAGAGCAGCCCGCCACCCTTTCAATACGACTATAGACATGAAGCGAACCGTGCAAGCCAACCTTCCACCCCCTTCAACTCTCTTCCTCCCCGTCCATTGCTTTGTCGCAAATTCTTCTTCCTCTGTTCCCTTGCTTTTCACTCGTCCATTTTTATTTTCGTCTCCTCATAATGCATTGGCTTAATTCATGTACCGCGTCCGCTCTGCGCCTGGACAACCTCATGAACCCTTCCGCCGCCGATACCCTACCCTCGTTCTGTACCAACTCGTTGCATGATCGTGTCGTCTGCGAATCGCAGAAAGGGGGGGTCATCTCTCTCACTCATAAACTCATTCGAAGCCAAAACCGAAACCAAAAATAGATGACAAGCCGAACAAAGGAACAACCAAACCGATTCAACAATAAAACATCAGAAGGTTAACATTCCTCATCCCTTACACACAAAGAGTGAGAGAGAAGAGATGTGAAGTGTTGTACATAGCCCATCTTGTGGCGCCTACCGAGCTGGAAGGGCCGAGGAGCGGAGATGTGTGGACACTTTAGGTGCCAGGCAGCGGGATTTGTTTATCTCTGTATATCAGGAACCGATGATTAGCGACCCATTTCACAATTCAGTGCACCATCATCCTACTACAAAGATAGAATTCTTGACTTACCCGTCCACGTCTGGAGGTGTTGTTGTTGTTGCCCTGCTCCTGCATATATCCCACATTTTGCTGCTGGGGCGGCATGCCAGCTCCGCCCATAGGGGCAGGCCCAGCGCCGTAACCGTAGCCAGGAGTGGGCATACCCATGTTCATACCGAATCCCGGGGCTGCGCCATACGGACCCTGAGGACCACCAGGTGGCATGTTAGGCATCTGGGGTGCACCAGGCGGCGGCTGAATCGGGCTGCCGTTGGACATGGCAGCTTGAGTGCCGCGATACTGGTCGATCGAGGGGCTCGGGGTCTGGAAACCACCAAACCCGGCGGGCATACCAGCTGGGTAGTAGTTGTTCATGGGAGGTGCGCCGCGTGCCATCATGCTCTGCTGGTACTGCATTTGCTGGAGAGCAGTGGCGGGGGCCATCGGTGTGGCGGCTCCACCGTACATTTGTCCTTGAGGAACGAAAGCAGGGAACTGCTGGGGGATCTCCAGGCCCTCGCTTCTAGGAATGCCGAAAGCCATGTCATTGTAGTTGGGGGCGCCAACATTCAATGGGTTATAGTACTGACCCGGGCCAGGGGTAAACTGACCAGGTTGCTGCTGCTGCGCCTGCTGTGCCGGCTGAGGCTGCTGCTGCTGCTGCTGGTTTTGCTGCTGATGTTGAGGGGTCTGGCGAGATGTAGGACGCTGCCTTTCACTATTGTTGGTGTTGTTGCTGTTATTGTTGGTGTGCTCACGAGTGTTGTTTCCGTTGTTGCTGTTGCTCCCACCGCTCCGAGTAGACAATCCAACTTCATCCATCAAACGCTTATAACCCTGGCCAGGCTGCGCCTTGATGCGAATCAAGACATTCTTCACGTTCTCAACAACCTGAGTCCGGATGGTCTCGTCGAAGAAGGGAGTGGTCAAGACCTTGAAGATGAGCGTCGCACCACAGGCGTGGTCGCTGAGGATTGCCTCCAGAACCTGGTCGTTCTGAGTGAAGAACAAAGCCTTAAGAATAGTGTCCCTGGCATCAGCCTCCGCCTTCTGGTTAATCACCTTCAGGACGGTCAGGTACGCGACCTTGTGAGTGCACAGATGCAACAGGTAAGGAACGAGCTGCGGCGACAAGACTGTGCGGCGCTGCGGGAACGTGCAGGTATCGAGGAACCAAGTCAGGAGTAGGGCACCGTTGGCGTTAGTGGCAAGCTGTACGCTATGAAGGGCAATGGCAGCTGCGAGCATCCGCTGCTGATCCTTGGTAGCGTGATGACTTTCCAGGCATGCCCTCATGGCACGAGCGCCGTAACGGCCTTGGGAAACCTCCCACATCTTGCTGAGCATGGTCTCAAAGATGAAGTCATTGTAGGGAGGGCCGAACTTCAGGCAGCCCTGAAGGACGTAGTTGCCATACTGGTCAAGGAACAAGGGGATCGTATAGGGACGCAGGTTCTCAACGATGAGGTTCAGCTGCTGGGGCGTCTTGCAGACATCGATGATCTTCTGGGCAGCCCAAGTACCGTTCTTGTGTACGCCAATCTCAGCCATATGAGGTGCAATCTCAGCAAGCATTTGGTCGCGAACGGAGTCAGAGCAGTGCTCAAAGAGCTTCTGGACAACAGTGTTACCAAGATAATCCGACGCCAGCTCAGCAATTTCAGGAAGCATCTCGATAGCAATGTTCTCGATCTCCTGCTGAGACAAGGTCTGGTTATCAATCCGCTTGCGAATATCACGGAGCTTGGGAGCATCGTGAACGCGGGTGTGGGCGGGCTCCTTGATGGGGGGAATCTCATCGATAAAGTTATCGAACTGAATGGCGTTCTGGAGGTTGGCGGAAATCTTGTACTTGTCCTCCTCGGTCGCGCCAAACTGCTGGACGATGTTAAGGATGTCGACGGTCATCTCAGAGAGAGGTGCCACGGTGGGGATGGCGTTTCCGGCCAAGGGTGTCGGGGAAGCATCACCAGATGCGCCAGTGCTGCCGTTTTGACCATTTTCCTGTCCCTTAGCAAACGGATCAGGGCTAGGGGAAGGGAAGGCTCCATCGTGGCCGGGAGTGTTGGACGCGGAAGGCGGCTTAGCAAAGTTGATACGAATGGGACCAGCACCAGGGAAAATCTCCTTTCCGTTCATGTTGGCCTTGGCGTTGATGGCACTGTCCACTCTTTCAAAGTTGACGAAGCCGCAGTTCTTGTGGGTCAGCACTCTAGCGGAGAGAATGGGACCATACGACTTGAACATCTCAGTAAGCGTAGAGGTCGTGGTGGACGTAGGGATGCTGCCGAGCCACAAGGCGCTTGTTGGGCCCTCCATGTTGGGCTCCTCGGCGCTGAGCAAGCCGTTGTTGTTACGGCTGTTCGATCTTCCCAGAGTCATGGCAGCGACGGCCTGGGGCAAATCTTCGTACTGTCTCTCCTCCGGCAACTGAATGTCGGCAGCTGTAATAGAAGCGTCAAGCCGAGAGGGAGTTGGAATGTAGTTACGAAGAATCCTGCTGGCAGGAGTGTCCAGAACACCGGCTGTCCTGGCACGCGGACGGGCAGCTTGGAATGCCTGTACGGCGAGGTTATGCTGTTGAATAGCTGCGTTGGTGGCAGCTAGTTGATCCTGAAGCTGAGCGTATTGGTTCTCCATTATGGTCAACGGATCTTCATCATAATCATCTTCCTCGTCAGCGTATTTATCCTTGTTGTTGACCGAATAAGAGCGGAACCTGTTCGCGGCCTTAGTAAAATCGACATAGGTCGGCATGTACGGGGTGGCAAGCTGAGCGCGAGGAGGCTGCGGTGTCTCTGCCAGGCCAAGGTAGTCCAAAGTCCTCATATGGACATCGTTCTCGCCCGCGCCTTCGCGAGAGAAGTGCGACTGGGTTGGAGAACTGGGGTTGTTGGATGGCACACTTGCGATGCTGGCCAGAGTGTTGCCTCTTTCACGACCAGTAGGCGTCCAGCTGCTGAAGATGGAAACGCCGAATGGCGAGCTTGTGCCGGGTACCTGGGCGAACGGGCTGCGCTGAGGCATAGAACCAGCCCTCAGCCTGGAAAGAAGCGTTGAAGCTGAGCCCTCGGCTTGTTCAATGCCGGGAGAGGGAGACTTGAACGGCGTATGCGACGGAGAAGGGCGCGAGGTCTTGGAAGCCAAGGCCGGGATATTCAGCATGCCATTGACCCCGGCACCGGCAGGAAATCTAGACGGCACGGTGCCGGCACGAGCACGCCGAGTCTGGGGCAAGCTGTCCGGAGTGGGCAACTGGGTGAAGTCCGGGAAGCCGTCGGTGGGCGACTCCGGGATGTTCTCTCGAAGAGGGGTCGAGTTGCCGCTGGTCGGGGGCCCACCCCATGGGTTTACCGGCAATCCCGAGATGCCTTCCTGGGCTTGGATCTCGCGGGCGCTGCGTCACAAGGCGGGGTCAGCGGCGCTCCTCCAAAAACATCCGGGTCATTATGGACTTACCGTTTTGAAAAGAGCCGGCCAGAGGACGCCATATCGTGGGATGGCGAACCATTGCCCGACCGCGAAGCGCCAGCCATCTTGGAAGACTGTCCCAGTCCCGATGACAGGCCGAAAGGAGAGCGGATGGCACCGGCAGAGGTCGGATCATTCGGTGATGTGCTTGTAGGCGAACCGGTTCGAGTCTGAAGAGAGACCGACTGCGGCGGGAAGCCGAGCGACATATGATCGCCGGGTCTTTGGTTGGACATTATTGATTATTTTTTATCCAGCTCTCATGAGAGTTATTGACAACTTTTTGTTTCCAGTCGCGTCCACGCGGCTACCAGGCCTTGGATACCGGACAAGAAGCGTTTGACGATAGCTCAAGGGAGGGTCTCGTCTCGGTCGAGTCTGATTTCCGGCGGGCGGTCAAAGGCGGTGTGGGACGAAAGGATGGACCAACGTCGACGTCAAAGAGCGCAGGCGCGGGGCCGACAAGAGTCGTCCAATTAAGCAGGAATCTATATCAGACACAGGCTGACCTGAGCGAAGGAGCGTCGCTCGAGGAGGCCTTTTGTGAAGCTCGAGGAGGGAATACGACGTCGCAAAGGTTTGTTGCAAGGGGCGATTACGGAGTCGGTGACGAAAGGTGCCGGGATTTCTCTATCGATGCTTGCAAAAAAAAGTTTGGCAAAGTTGGGGAAGTTTGCTTGGGGAAATTTGGCAAGTCGACCTCAACAAGGAGCGACAGGTTGAAGGGGAAAAGAGGAACCGAGAGAGCTGAGTCGACCTCGGCGGCGGCTCAGAGGTTGAGTCGAGGTGAAGCAAACTGGATGTTCCTGGGAGATCTTTCGAGGCAGGCGGCCCTGGTTTTGCCTTTTTTGCCAAGGTGGGATTGGATCGATTGGAACTGCGCCCGGGTTGTGGTGGACTGGTTGCTGAATGGTGGCTCGTTGTCGGGACGGTCCCGGACAGAAGCTGTGTGTGGGATGGTGCGAGTGGACTTTTTTTTTCTAGCGAGAGACAATCCCCCGGCCGTTCGCTCGTGTTCCGTCGTTTTGCTCACGCCCGGCCTCGTCTCAGCTCAGCGGAGGGGTGGGATGTCGATTTTGTCAACCGTCAACGGCCGTCGTCTGGGTTCACGTTACTCCGCCAGGAGAGTGGATCCGACAAGGAGAGGCGGGGAGGGGAGAGAAGTGGAAGTTAAAGGCTGCTAAAGAATATACAGGCCCGGGGTCATTAGGAGGAGGGTTTCGAGCCTGGAGAAGAGGACAGCGATTTTGATTAGAAGAGGAAGGGTTGTGAGTTACAATGAGAGAGAAGAAGAGACGGAGAGATGCAAGGTTGAAAAGGAGAGAAAGTGATGCAGAGTTGAAGTTGAATGGTTGCAGGAAGAAACCTAAAGACCCAGAAAGCCGTCGTGGTGGGGGCAACCGGGGAATCTTCTACAGGCGGCGTGTACTAAACACCACCTAGAGAGGGGGGGTCGAGGATTTGACACTGCAACTGCAACTGCAACTGCGGAACCACCACGCTCCCACCGACGTCCTGTGCAGAGATCTCCGACGACACCGAGATGGAAGGCGTGATGGGAAGAGGAAAGTGCTCTGGAAACGCGGCGAGAGGTTGATTCTGAGTGGTGGATGGCGGACCGGGGCCGGATGTGAAACAGCCAGCCTTGGAAGAGGTGCTTCGTGCTTTCCTCCCGCTTGACATTGCTTGCTGTTAACATGAAGTGAGCAGGTACCTGTACTTGCATTGGATGCACCGAAAACACTCGTCACGGGCTCATGGCTTTTCTGGCTCTCTTTGCGATCTCTTCCACCCTGACCAAGGCCGGACTCTCACCGCCTTATACAACAACAGCTGCACTCACTTGTTGTCTTGCTTACAATTGGCGGAACCAAACCCCAAGTGAATGAACAGCTGTCATGGAAAAGTCCGATATCAAGTTAAGGCTGCGCAAGTTGCCGACAGCGGGGAAACTCAACCTTATGCCCACCATGCTGACCCTGATGGAAGTCACTGTTGATGTTGGGGATCCTGAACTTCGGTTCCTCGAACGCCCTGGAGTGTCCAGCTTTGCCTGGCAAAAGCGGAAGCCCCTTTTTTCAGCAAGACCCCAGGTACCCTCCATCAGAGACGTGAGGTGACTCCGTTTCCATGCTGCGAGCTAAACGTCTTATGCATGCTTGGGGAGCAACGGGAACGGAGGGGACGGGAGTCATGCTTCACGCTGTAGTGTGTTCCGTAGCCCTTTTTTGGGCTTTTTCACCGGGGAAAAAGGTACTTCGGGTGAAAAGGTTGCACGGACCAATTTTCACCGGCTTTTTCACCGGGTTGCAGGGTTTTGGGTGAAAATGGTGATCATATTGTTTTGGCGTTGGAGTTGGGTTGGTTATAGCGGCTTCAGCACTATTTCAGCGCGTTCAATGGGTGATGCATTTTGCAAAACACCCTTTTTTCTGTTCACCGGGTGAAAAGGAATGAAGATGGATGCGAGCGATTTGGTTGGCTGAAAGCTTAAAAAGTGGGCCATTTCTTTTCACCGGGTGAACAAGACGTGTAACCCGGGTGAAAAGGTACAAAAGTGTCAAAAAAGTTATGGAACACGATTTTCACCGGCCATTTTCACCTGGTGAAAACGCTAAAAAAAAAACGCTACGGAACACACCCTAAGTGGACAGGATGGGCGTTGCTGCAGCTATCCACAAGCGCCCCGAGAATCACACCCCCTCTTGACCTAGCCATTGCGATAGAAAGCTAACAAATTGGAAGACCAAGAAAAGTCTAAAGAAAAGAGACTCCAGAATCGAACTTCATCTCGTTGATTTCTTTGGTTGTCTACCTCTGGAAGTTGGGTTCCCTACTTCGTCTGCTTGATGTCTGCCGGGAGTGGGTATGCCACCTCGAGTGGTATTCTCAGGTACAGGAAGCTAGGGACTGCCGCTGCCGAAGATGCACCTTGATTGGTGGGTGCGTGACAGGTACCCGATCCCAACAGGTAACCAGCATTGATAGAGGCGGCCAACATGTCATCAAGCACTGACTTTCTTGATGCCAAGATGATCACTACAGACCGAATGAATATGTATAACGGTATGCTCGCCAGCGTTCTAAGTGTGCCCATGATAGCAAAGCAGAGCATTGATATACCTAAGCACAGGGGATCTGTACCAGGTATGCTCACTGGCGTCGATTCTAGAAGGGTGGGAGCAGTTTCTGTCTTGTTTGATAGGGCAGTTTACCAATTGTCCAAGAACCAAAGCTTCTGGCCGCAAGACTCGGGATACAGTGAGTCCCATAGACATCTCAACTAATGGTTTGATAACCGATACCGGCCAACGTCTTCCCTCCAATATCTCTTGGGTTGGCAATGTCGAGTGTCTTGACCTGGTTGTAAGTCAAGCGCCATTCACACCCTCACCCGCCCATATCCGCCAGAATGCCCTATCATCCCCGCGGGTTCCCTTCTATGATTCCTTCGTCGTTCCCCTTGGATCGTGTTCGAGGAACATACAACAAACCAATCAAAGGGGAGAAGCAACGATCAGTGATCTGCGAGAGCAACCTGAAACATCGAGGCCCAGTTGCCCTCAAGCGTGGCCCCCTAGCAACAGAGCAGTGCACGAGCCATTTAATGGCTTAGCGTTCGCTTTCGGATGGAAACACCCCTCATATACTCCTCAATATCTAGACCCCCCTTTGGAATGACGACCCCTCGTGCATCCTAGAGTCCAGTCCCATGGTGATTCCCGCGAATGGGCGGCTCTTGAGAATTTGACTGCGTCTTCTGCTCTTCTTTTGCCCCTGGTTGTTGGATTTTATCACATACGATCGCAATCTTCCAAGTCGTCCTCGAACTTGCGTGATCGGTCCCGAAAACCGTCTAGACAACGCTCGGTTGTTGCCGCTGTGCCCTATGTTTCCTGTCACTCTTGCCGGTTTCTTCACAACATCTGAAATTCGGGCACTTCTTTCCACGACCCAAAGACTACCTCTGAATATGGGGAAAAACACACAAGTGCAACGCGCAATCCTCGATTTACATTCAATTATGTCCGCAGCGTTTCACCTATCGCTTCCCCTGCTTTCCGCATCTCTTTCCCCCGCATTGGCAAGGCGGATGAGACTCGGGATTCGGGAAAGCCATGCCATATCTTGACATCCAGGGCTGGTATTTATATAGCCGACCTGCGTGACAAATACACTCTTGACTGTAAGGTACGGTATGTACCACCTTAATGGTTCTCACTGCCTCCTCACAAACATCGATAATTCGATTAAATCTTGCGGTTGGGGTGGTCGCCAAGGCCTTCAAGTGATGTGTCCAAATACGTAACCTTTGCGTTGGTAACAAAGATCAATGGAAAGGGCATACCAACAACCACAATGATATTGAGGTTTTGAGATCGATCCGATTCCAGACTGAAGAGCATTAAAAAGCCATAAACTTCTCGCTAGATTTGTTTCAGCAGTCCTCGCAAAGCAAACCAACCTTCAACAACAGCAGTGGAAGCGTGTCGTCGAAGGAGAAAGTGGGGCTTCCAGAAGAAGCACGGACAATATCTCTTCGGCGGGTCCGTGCACCAGCTCCCTGGAATTCCCCCGTCATAAGTTCCATGTCGCAAGCTCCAGCTCCAGAAGCTCCAATTGTGGCCACATCGCGCCAACAACGCCAGCAAACGATACCATGGCGAACGTGATCAACAACCTCTTTGGCGGCGCAAAGCCTGCCAGCGTCATTCCAGACAAGGCGGGCGATTCTGGTATGTGGCTTTGATCTGTAATCCTATCTGTTGGACACATTGGGAGCACCGTCAAGCCCCTAATCTAGCCCGTCAACTGAACGGCTTCGATGTTCGCGATGCCCCGGTCAGACACGGTTGCTTGAGCTAGGCTCTAGATATCCCGGCTGCTCTACCCACCAGAACTCGCCTAATGCCGATCAATGGGCCTCTGCCTCGCTTCCAGAACCCTCAGACGCGATTCAACTAAATGGGATGACTGACCTTTTGGGCTCCAGACTTTGCCGACTTCGCAGAGGGCGCCGACCCGTCCCCCATCCCTATCAGCCCGGTAACGACTACTCTCGCCGGTGCCCAGCCCGCAAAGACCGTCGTCCCCTATACAAAGTGGTACAATGTGCACGAGCGCCATAGCCTTTCCGAATTCAAGGCCGAGGGCTTCATCCTGGCCGCCATGACCGTCGTGCTGGTCCTCCACCTCTTCGGTGCCCGTCTAAACCGCTCCAAGGCCAAGAAGTGGATTCGCGCCCATGCTTCGACATTGGGCTCCGAGTTTGCCCTTGTTGGCTTCTCCGGCGTGCCCAGGGCCCTCTCGGACAAGTCTGGTGATAAGCTCACCCAGGCTCTGGCCGACTCCAACTCCCAGAAGGGTGACGGCATCCTGAAGGAGAAGAGTCTCTTCGAGTTCGCGACCTACGCCACCGGCCGTGTCAACGTTGCCTTTGTCGATGTCAAGCTCACCCTGGTCAAGCGCTTCAACCCCTTCATCACCCTCGCCGAGAACGTCATTGGTTTCTTCTGGGACAGCTACGCCCAGCCTACCGATTCCGTCGAGGCCACCTTGTATCCCTTCGACGGCAAGGAGGCGCTTACTGTTCCTGCTATGCCTGGCGCGGCTGAGCTCCGTCAGAACGACAAGAAGAGCACTTTCGACGGTTTTGTCTGGGCCATTGTCCACAAGGAGAGCATGAAGCAGGTCCGCGACGAGCGCTACGACGTGTCCCTTACCTACACCAAGGACAACAACAAGCTTCCCCAGTGGTTGACGGTTATGACTGAGAGCGCCGAGATCACTGATGCGCTGCTTACCCCTGAGCTGATCAAGGCTGCCGAGTCTGCTGGTGACCTCCTCGAGTACCTCATTGTTTCCGACCAGCCTATTGACAAGCCCACGACGTGAGTCTCACCCGCTTTTCTGCCCACAAACTACATCACCACACAGTTATTGACATATGATCCCCTTCACAGTGTCGAGGAGACCAACCCCCGCAAGCGCATCTTCCTCAAGTACCGCCTCCCCTCAGACAACAACTACGAGCCTCTCCTGCCCATCTTCCAGTACTTCCTCCGCATGACGGACCAGCTCGTGCAGGTGGCGCACTTCCGTCCTGAGGTTCTCCGCAAGGTCAAGTCGGTCCGCGACGAGATGATCAAGGGCATCAAGAAGGCGAGCGAGCAGGAGAAGGCCGAGGAGCTGGCGGTCGAGCGCGAGAAGCAGCGTAAGGCCAAGCGTGACGCCGAGTTGGCCGCCATGGACGCCAAGTCGCAGAAGAAGTACCTCGAGAAGGAGAGGGAGAGGGAAGCCAAGAGGCAGACCAAGAAGATGACTACTAGGGCTTAAAAAGCTTTTCTCTTCTTCTTCGAATGTTGTATGTGTGATGACTATGGTATGAGGGGGGGTAATGGGTTGGGATTCGGATGATCCCGACAAGGTGATGGTTTTGGGTAAGGGATGATGACGGAGGCTATTATCAAAGTATACTTATAATAACGTGTATATGCGTCTGTATGTTGTATGTATAAAAATAATGTGGAGATGGATTGATGAGCAAGATGTGAGCCCTGTTGGTGTGAGGCGGTACTGTGTTTGTCCACGTCTGAAGCACTCCTCTTATTCTCTTTTCCGTCCTCCTATACCCCTGGATCCCACATCCCCGTACTGCGCTGAACGGTGTGACAAAAGCCGGGTTCCCAGCATAGCGAATCCGCTGTTCTGCAATATTGACAGCAATAAAGGCCTTGGTTAGTATCAACGTTCTCTGGTGAAGCTGGCATGCATGATCCTCAACAAACGGAGACGGATAAGCAAGCCACTAGACTAAGTACCAAGTAACGTATTAAAGCTGAGTAGCTTGAGAACGTGAATAGCAGTAACTGAATAGCAGTAACTAGGCAGATGACTCCCCCTTTTGATCCTCAGACAAGATTCCTTGCACTCTCTTCACCTTGTCTTCAGCCGTTTGTTTCTTGTCGGTTCTGTTGGAGTGAAAGAGAAGGGGAAGTAAAGGGTCAGCAAGAGCAACGCAACGCAACGCAACGCATGATGAGATGATTCCAAGACCGAAGTGAAGAGTCCAAAGCAGGGAAAAGAAGGAGAGATTAAAGAGAGGGTGAAGGGGGAGAGAGAGAGAAGAACAGAACATACCGAGTCCCAACCCGCATAGAAGTTTGCACCCGCTTCACGCCCCCCTGGTGCACGACCGCGTGGGCTTGGCCGATGACTTTCATTACTTCGTCCCAGGATCCTTCTGTTTTTGTTGTGAAAGTGAAGGGTTGTTAGTTAGCTGCTTGCTGTCTTCCAAGTACAAGACAATAAATAGGCTGTCCAGGCTCGAAAGGTTTTGTATGGAAGCAGGTAGTAGGAAGGTAGCGAGAGATACTAACCAACAGTAGTACCAGCCGAGTGCATCGTGTACTTCAACCCGCTGGCTTTCAAAATTCTTTGCACCTCGGCAACCTCGTTGGCGACGGATACGTTGCCTGTTCCAACCTGTTTGTCGCAAACCAAAAGAGTCAGCATGTTTCTTCATTAAGTTTATATATATAGATATACTCACCGGAACCAAGCAAAAGTCTACGTAACACGACGCAGGCGTTTCGATGTTGGAGTAGTCGCGGAAACTCATTTTCAGGTAGGAAGGGAAGTGTCTGTTGGTGATTAGGAGCTGCCGGGAGGAATGACTGAGAAGAGTTCGGTGAGATCTGAAGAGACTCATAGGGGTGGGTGGTTTGAGGAGGTTTTAGATGGAGGAAGGGGTTCGAGGGGGAGGATAAGAAAGACCTCCAAGCACGGATCAGATGTTCAGTTTGGTTGTTGTTGGTTAGGTGTTGCTGGCGTCAGTGTCACTGCGATTCAAGACTGAAAAGTTACAGTTGGAGCGTGCCTTCCTGGATAAGGTATGTTCGATAAGCGAAGACCAAAAGGATTCAAATCTGAGGTATCTATCTTTCAGTATCGATGTGAAATGACTTGAAGTCTACCTCGAGGCTTCAGATATTCATGTTCCACTTAATTTTTGTCCATTCGAGTTCACTGGCAACGCTGGTTCACGATACCTCTATCCTACGGCAAGATCCGAGCTTCCGCTATCGTGGGGATGCAAACAACCCCACACTTTGTACAGTACTTGGAGTTTGGACGCAATCTTGCCCCTCATCTAGGGACATAAACGTGAGCGATAGAGGATATACAACCCACTTGGAACTCAAGACCCGTGAATCCTCTCATAATAGAGCCCACGGTGAAACAAAAAGATTTGCGTGAATGTGTTGATGTCAGATATATGCCATCCTTGAGATGGACAACTTGGCTTGCGGGGGAAGCACGGGGGTTCGAGTTCTCTGCCGATTGGAGATGGAGGCATCGTGTTGCCGGGGAACCCTAGTGCCATAGTCGATAGCGCTTGTTTGATGTCGTCAGAGGGCGCTCATTATACTCCAAAAGGTTTGCTGGTGTTGGATCAAGGAATTCGAGAACTTGAGTATGAAGCCATCGTAAACATTTGGGAGATATCGAGATGTGTTATAGCAGGCTGTAAGTCGGCGATAGAAAGCTTTGGAGATGGCCACACGGTGTTGATCAGGCAGCACCGAGTAGCCGAGATGACGGGGTGTCATGACACGGAGTCGATGACTCTCTTGCATACAATCGCCATATCTCATCCGGTCTAACGCGCGACATCTTAACTGGTGGCCTTGAATCCGAAAAGCTTCGTCTTGGTTCTTGAATTTGTTGGCGCCACGTCGTGAAGTTTGGGTTGATAGCTGGTGTAAATGCTGTCCCCGCCCTTGCATGTGCAGATGTTAGTGCGTGATACCTTTGCGGTGCCAAGTCCATTGTCATTGATAGGGTACAGCTGGCGGGCACCTGCTGTGTTGCAGACGGGACAGCCTGGACTTGGACACTTGCACCTGCAGGACAACTGCTGCGAGTCTGCTGTCAGTTGCCTCAACCTGCCATGTGCCGCCATCCTGCCGTCCCACGGGGCCGCCTGAATAGCACTGGAAACAGGAGGCGTTAACATGATGGCATGCGCCGTGCTAATCGCAAGAGGAACAACCATCCCGGACGAACACGGCAACAACACAGCCAAACACCCAAGCACGTCGACGGCACACTCACTGCGACGAGACCGACATCTTCCCCGTCAACCATAGGCCCATCGCCCAGCAGCCCCCCCGACCGCGAACCCACCGTCATCCCTGCAATTAGACAAGCTGGAAACCGGCCCCCGGGACCCTTTCGACTACCAGTCCCGTTCCTACTACTGCCTACTTGCTACCAACATTTGGTTACTCGGAGACACTTCTTTGTGGTGATCTGTTGTTAAGCGATTATGCATTGCTTCTAGACGGCCTCTTCCTCCTTCGATTGATATAGTTTCGATGCCGTGAAGAGCTGTCCAACTTCCAGTCGAGTCGCCTACCCACCGGTATCCTCAAACGACCGCCCCCCCTCCTTGCGCCCCTCGATCAAGGCACCACCGCGTCCGTCGTCCGAGTGTCACTCTGCCGATTCTCCTCGCTCGACATTGCCCACCACTCCGAACCCAAACGAACCGTACCACCCAATAGTTTATAGGCCAACCCACAGCCAGCGCGATGGCTTCGTTTGGACAAGCGGTGCCGGCGGCTGCCCCGAGGCCGGGCCCGTATGGAGCAGCGTACGGGGCCCCCGTGGCGGTCAGCGCCCCTGCCGCCCCAGCAGGCACCTTTGCGCCCGGCACCAAGATCCAATGCGGCTCCCACCGAGTTGTCATTCAGAAGTACCTTTCCGAAGGCGGTTTCGCACATGTCTATCTGGTCAAGCTGCCGGCGGCGGTCAATGGCACTGACCTGGCCGTGCTGAAGAGGGTCGCCGTGCCGGACAAGGAGGCCCTCCGCGGCATGCGCACCGAGGTCGAGACCATGAAGCGCCTCAAGGGCCACAAGGCCATCGTCACCTATATCGATTCGCATGCCTCTGAGATGCGTGGCACTGGCGGCTACGAGGTCTTCCTCCTGATGGAATACTGCAATGGCGGCGGTCTTATCGACTTCATGAACACCCGGTTGCAGCACCGTCTGACCGAGCCCGAGATCCTCAACATCTTCTCTGATGTTGCCGAAGGTGTTGCTTGCATGCATTACCTCAAGCCGCCACTGCTGCACCGCGACTTAAAGGTTGAGAACGTGCTCATCAACATGATTGGCAGTGTCAGAAAGTTCAAGCTATGCGACTTTGGCTCGGCCGCCCCGCCTCGCCCAGCCCCGACCACCGTTACGGAGTGCCGCCTTGTGGACGAAGACATCCAGAAGCATACGACGATGCAGTATAGGAGTCCCGAAATGGTTGACGTGTACCGCAAACAACCCATCGACGAGAAGTCAGATATCTGGGCGCTGGGCGTCTTACTCTACAAGCTGTGCTATTATACTACACCGTTCGAAGAAGGAGGAACCTTGGCGATCCTAAACGCCAGCTACAAGTTCCATAGCTATCCTGTTTTCTCTGACAGGTTGAAGAAGCTCATCGGTAAGCATCCCGTGGTCGCGTTCCCGAACATAGTACTCATCGGTTATTAGCTTGGATGCTACAAGAGAATCAACAAGCCCGACCAAATATCTATCAGGTACTCCGAGAAGCTTGCGCAATGCAAGGCAAGGAGCCTCCTGTCAAAGACGTAAGTGTTCCTGGTATCCCTGGTATCTTCCGACTGAGCTCTCGCCAGGCAACTGACCCTTTGTACAGATTTACACAGGGACGCATGCAGACACCAGGAAGCGCGAACACTCACAGAGCCAGGTCAAGTCTCCCCCAGTCGTTGGCGCTGTATTTGCGGCCCCGGTAGTCCAACAACAGGTTATTCCCGAAGTCGAGCGGATGCGACGAGGAAGACTCCCTGCGCCGTCTCAACCCGTATCCCAACCGACGACGCCCAGTCCTGGGCCCGGGAAAGTCACGAATGGTGACCCGTTTGCTGCGCTTGATACCAAGCTCCCACTCAAGAATGCCGACGAGCTATCGAATAAGTTTCCGACGCTCGACCAGTTCTCCCTTCTACATGATCGGGGGACCAAGTTTGACTTTGACAGTGGTGTCCCTCAACCTCCACAACAACAAAAGGCCATGTCGCAAAGGGTAGCTGAAAGACTGGCGGACGAGGTATTCAAGGTGAAACCGTCACCTTCCCCGACTCCCGTGCCGGCGAGCCAGCGGGTTTCGCTTGACCTGAACAAGGGAAATCCGTATGCGGCTGCTATGGAGTCTCAGCGCATATCACCATCCGTCAACCCAGCTTCCACGCTCCCGAGGCAAGGCGAGCCAAGCCGTGCTTCAGCCATAATCTCCAGCATACCCGAACTCAAAACGATCTCTTCGCCGAATTCGCAAAGTCCGTTCCAGTCTCCTCCACCAACTAGGCCTAAGATGGTTTCAACTGGAACTATGACCGAATCACCGCCTCCCGCGGAACGATATCGTGCCCCGCCAGCAGAGCATCACCGGGCGGCTAGTGTCCCCCGGCAGCACGAGACTGGGCCTACATCGTTTACACGCGCTGCCACGACGGTCTTGCTATCCCCTGGAGCCGCCGGGTCGCCAAACGCTCCGTCTTCGTCCTCGAGACCATCACTTGAAGGTGGCCGCCCAAGCTACGATGCTTTTGACCTACCGACAAGATCCAAACAGCACGAGAGCACACGACCTGCCAGTATCTATCTTGAATCAGACCTGACCTATCTGCGTGAAAAAGAGGCGGCTGCTAAACCACTCCACTCGCCGAGCCTCTCCGGAAGATTCTCGTTCGACAAGGCTCCTCCTTCGCCGAAGCTGGAGGAGGAGCGCAACATCCGGTCCAGCGTCGAATTCTTGCGTTCGATGGAGGATGCCGATACTAAGAAGAAAGACAAGGGTGCCAAGCATCATTCCAAGCGCTCAAGCTTGAGTTCGCTCAGTGCTGGCACCAAGAACCTTTTTGCTGGCAAATTCGGAGATGCATTCAAGAGGTTTGAAGGTGGTGTGAGTAACAGTGGACCTCCGAGGTCCCCATCTTCTCTTAAGGATATTGATGCGGAAGTCGACCGTTTCAATAAGTTGACACCAATCGCGGGATCCGAGGCAACTGACGACAGGAGCGATGAAGGCCGGCGATTTGGAGACGACAATGCGGACGAGATGACTCCTGAAATGCGTCGGGAGGAAGAAGCCCGCATGTTGGCGGCAGAAGAGGCTCGCGTCGCCGCTGCGCAGGCCGAGTACCGTGCGCGCGTTGCGCAGCGGACCGGTACGGGCTCGGGAACGGCGCCGACGCCGCAACCGAAAAGCATTGGCGGCGTCCCTCGCGCTATGTCTATTCAGAACAAGGTCCAAAGCCTCTTGGATGAGAGCAGTCGTTCGGCGCCAGTGTCAAGGACAGCTCACGGATACGGCCATTACACCGATGCCGACACCGGTGGGCCTCGTGGCTCGATTGACAGTCTTGGAGATTCGAGGCCTTCGGTTGCAAAGAAGCCCATCGCCATTACCGGACAGCCCATGACCGGATCTCTACCGCGACCCCCGACCTCATCCGGCATGTCCAGTATGGAGCAAACCATGACTGGTCGCGCCTCCATGACCGTGACGGGGGCGAAACCGGCCGCACCTCCGAAACCCACGCGACTTACCGCAAACTTAACAGCCGGCGGTGGAGCTGGCTCGCCGCCTAGACAGTCCTACAGCACCAGCACGATAAGCCTGCACAAACAGCTCAGGCCCGGGACCTCTTCGAGCTCATTAATGGACAGGGATAGAAGCGACAGTATCGGAGCGGCGAGAGGAGCAGACTACAGCAGAACAAGCAGAGAAGCGCTGGTCGCCGTGGAGGGTCTGCCCGGGCAGAACTCCCCTATGCTACTGCAGATGTCGGCGGCCGAGAAGGATGATTATATCAAGGACTTTCAGAAGCGGTTTCCTAGCCTTACGAGTATAGAGATGGTTGAAACGGATGTGGGCGCCGGGTCTGGGACCACGGGTAGTGAGTGGAATGATGCCCGCTGAAGGAAACGGGTGGGCGGATGAAGGAAGGAAAGAAATGGAATGATAATGTCGTGTGACAATTACACGGGTTATGAAACGTCATTGAATATGCTGTTTGCCTGTTGTTGTTGTTGCGACTCTTTATAAGCTAGAAGAAGGTCATGATGTAACGCACTTTTTTGCAAGACAGTTATGATGCCCTTCCTTGAACAGGCACGCACACACACACATTCTATCTATAGGCACAACTATATCTATCTATCTATTAGTACCATATTTATAATTGCAATGTACATAGACAAACACACACCTCCAAGCGGTAACAAACATTTGCTGAAATCGGGTTTACCGTCGACATCAAGGTGAAAGATGACGACATTCTCTATCCTTATCCTCGTACTCTTCACTTCATCCGCATCCCTCCATCCATCCATCCATCCATCCATCCAACACTGCCCCTCTCCCCCTCTCCCTTCCCTCGCACCCTCCCTCACCTCCTCACGCACCATACTTACGTGACCTTCTGATCGAAATTGCAACCCTCTATCTTTCTCCGTAACGCTGACACCGCCCACTGCATTGCACTGGTTGCCTTGTGCCTATATCATCACCACCTAAGTTCCAGGTCTGCAGCGACCGAGGGAGGTGAAGGGAGGCGAGGGAGGGGTATCGTATCCGATCCGTCACATATCTATCTACTCTCACCCGTTTCGTTGTTCTATCATTATCGCCGTGATTATCAGCATCATCATATGCTGTGTGTGCCTCAATCCCTCTTCTCGTCGATGATCTATCACGATTTCACGGCGCTTAGCTATCTAGCCATTCAACTTCCGTGGGAACGGGTATGAGGAGCGGGATTCTTATCGGCTTTTCATATACTCGGATTTGATAGATCAATTCATCACATAACAAACCAATCTCATCACGGCTGGTTGGTTGCCACTCATCGAGGCACACACACAGCCCGTTCGGTCACAACCTCAACGGTCGGTCACAACGGTCAAAGCCACGCCCGGTTTGTTAGTGGCACTGGCACACTTTAGGAATAACTACTACCTACATTGGTATCAGGATTCGAGATTCGAAAGTCCGTTCGTGGTTTTTGCCTAGGTAGGTGGGAAGGTGCCCGATCCGGTTGCAGGTTGACTACCCAAGGTCCCTCCTACTCCCGTCCCTAGGGAATGTCTAGTATAGACAGACCATAGATAGGTAGATGTGTACCCCCACGCTCGCCAAGTAGACGAGGTAAGTACATAAAGTATAGGTAGTAGGTGCACCACAGTACATACAGTGTTGACTGTGGAAGTAGAACGGTTAACGACTCCGACTTTGCTGACAGAGTCCTCAGGGTGGGTTCAAACTGCTACGCTAAGTAGAAAACATTAACCAAGCGAGCCAAGTTACCATGAATGACGGCTCACTAATGTAGGAACACCACACATCTTGATAACCATGCATCTCAAATCTGAGATACATATCTGAGATAGACTAGTAGGGCAAAAACTGCAGTTTCTTTTTGGAGTTGGTTGTTGCTCATTCAATCTCAGAGTCAACCAACCCACTGTTTTGGTTTATGTTGCCCCCAAAGATGGCGTGTGCGAATCTTCTACATAGTGCAAATGTCGTTGTCGTCTTCTTCGAAATGCCTTTGGTTCGACTTTGACCCATGCATGTCACTGTGGGCCGGTTAGTTGGTGTCGCTCCAAAAAAAGTTGCTTAGGACAGAGACATGGGTTGTTTGTTGGCCCAATACTTGTGAAAGGCCTTGATGAATACCAACCAAATCGTGCCTTGATGAAAGGGCGGCATGAAGCTTTCATCCGACTAAATACAACCTTCCGCCCGGCGCTAGCGCTCTAGCAGTCGGGCAGCATCCCGTCCGGGGCACTGTCCCGCTCCGTCCGGGGTTAAACCGGGGAGTTAAACCCGAGTGGATCACCTCCGATCATCGGCGCCGAGGTGTGGACACTGGCTTTCACCGCGCGCGCCCCCGCTGTCGTCCCACTCCCACCGTATTCGCCTTTTTGTTTGTGTGTTGGGGTTTCGGCTCGAAACATCCGTTGTACGGTAGGTGGAGACAGAGCCGGGGCGGGGCCGAGGCCTTGTTGGGTACATACCGCTGGACCGTTGGTGGGGGGCGGTCGGGGCGGTCGGGGCGGTCGGACTCGGAGCGGGTTAGTTACCCGGAGGAACAGCTACGTTGGGAATAGCGTCAAACAAACAAACGACTCACCGGCGTGTCTCTAACATTCGAGTATGGGGTATGGGGTAGTCTAGACTTTCTTGGTGCTGGCGCCATCCCACATCGTCTCGGTGAAATTCCAAAGCTGTGGATTCCTTTTGTTGGCTTGTCCCTTTTGACATCAAAGTCTGGGGTTGGGTATGGGGTTCGACTGGAGATAAAATGGAGATGCCGAGATGGGATCATGGAACGAAAACGACATCTGTTTCCAAGAAATCGTCAAGTGCTTTGACAGTCTTGGAACTCTCGGTATACGTAACAGAATAGTTCTAGACTGGTGAACTAAAAAAACTAAAAAACTGCTAAGAGGTGTCAGCAACCGTCGAACCGAAGAGAGCCGAATATCCGGGGATGGGTTGATGTTAGAGCAATCTTGGATGAGCACGGGTGAAGGGAGTTTTCCGACGGAAAGCATCATCGAGTGAGAATCTGAAGACAGTGGTGACTGAGTGGTGATATTGTTTGATTCTCCTCATGATATACGATAGCCGTAAATGCAATCAACAACTAAAACAGCAGAGATGACCTCCATCTAAAAACCATGAATGCGTGCCTGCTTATGAAGAAATGTGTACACGTTCCGTCCCGTTGTGTCCCATGATCCCGAATGACCCGTTTCTGATGATGATAATGATGATGATGATCAACAAACACAAAAAATGCTTAAACATTAGCCGAAAAATGATGTACAATGCCTTTTCTCGATTTCTCTTCTTTTGCGTGATCGCCGCCGCCGCCCGTGAGAGCTATGAGAGAGTGAGTGGGATGTTCTTTCTCTTTCTTCTGTTTCTTCATGAGTTCCGCCTGCCTGTCCTGTCCTGTCTCGTGAAGACTTTTGTTCCGATTCCAAAATACCCCAAAAATGCGCCGCCGAACACTCCAATGACAAGAAATAACTAGAGAGACAATGAATTTGGTGAAGAAAATGCAAAAACGCAGACGATATCCAACCCACCCAAAACAACACCGGTTTTTTGATGTGTCCATGTCCAGATCTGGTATACCAATGACAGGTAGGTGTAACCAGTAAAATGCTTGATAAGAAAAAGAATGATGTTCGAGAAAAGAAAAGAAAAGTGCTTTTATGCTTCCTTCACCGGTGAAGAGGGTGATTCGAGAAGTGATTGGTCGCAACTGCCACAGCGGAAGCAGAAGCAGAAGAAGCAAAGACTTGAAGGCAAGAGCGAACATCAACCCCACGAAAACGACGACATCCGACCAACTGATCGCGATAAAGTCTGCCGAGAGGTTCCAGGTTTCGAACCCCCACGCACTAGTGTCCTTCTGGTGGCACTGGTCGTCTGCGTTGTTGATTTTCGGTTCGTTCCTTCCCCAATTCCGCGGTCCCCCACACTTTCCCATGCAATGGAAAACAAACTGCATCGTCCATGACGAAAGATGGGAAAACTGACTCCCGAGCATAGCTGCGGCACCATGCATCCTCTCGGATGGGAAACCAAGGACATCCGCATCCTCTTACCCGCCCCCTCATCGCTCACATGACTGCTGTGTGTGTCCTGCCTTGTTACCTCCCTACCAAGGGGGTGACAAGCTCAATGCTCTTTGGCCTCGAGTAAATCCCCGGCCTGCGGCTTGGTAGCGGTCGGTCATTGTAGGCATCTCCCATACCGCCATAGTAATGGCCGTCGTACGTAGAAGGGAAGAAACCGGACTGCTGGTTCGAGTACGAGTTGTTGGGGCTCGCAGCTGAGCTCCGGTTCGAGAAAGGCCAAACGTTGGCGTGGTAGCTGCCTACAGGTGGCGGCGAGGGGGGGCTGGCTGGCCTTCCGCCATAGAGGGAAGACTTGAGGGCATTGATGGCTGAGGAGTGGCCGGTTCCCGGTGTGGTAGGTGGGGAGACATATGTTGAGTTGGGACGGGATGGGGATGCGCGGGGGATGATGTCTCGGGGCTCTGAGAAGGCCGAGTAGAAAGGGTAGTGAGTTGGAGCGTTCGAACCGACCCAGCTGCGAGATGAGGGCGAGGAGGCCCCGAAGCCTTCCTGGTCGCTTAGGCGGCAGCTAATGAGTTCAGGTCAGTCTTGAGATTCAATGAATTGGTTTGGGGGCAGTTGTTTGAACTTACTCCTTGGAGCAATAGAGGGATTGGTCGTTATCGGGGATAAACTGCTTCTCGCAAGACATGCTATAAGACTGAGTGTCAGCACAATATACTCTGGTATATCCATGCACAAGAGACAACCCTGAAAGGTTATGCAGGAACGGTAATGCTTCGGCACCAAGATGACCAATGCCATTGCACCTTCAAGCACCGTTACACGGATCACCCGCATATCAGGTGACGATGCGCGAGAGCCAAAAAGGAATTATTTGGGGAGGGGAAGCTGGTTGTACTGAAGGCAATTCATCAAGAGAACCCTAGATACAACACTTGGATCTGATCTGGCGGGCTTGGGTTTGTTGGGGGAAGGCAAAAGAGCAGGGGTAACATACCAGAACTGGGGAAAGCTTTCCCGCTCCTCCTCAAACCAACGCTCTTCTTCCAATTCTCTCTCACGATCCCTCATGTTCCTGCCCAGCTTCTGGGAGGTCTGGGGGGTGTTTCTCCTCGTCATGGCAGGTCGAGTTGAAGAAGCAGCTTTTCGGACGTCGGTCATCGAAGTGTTGCCAGAAGCATGCCCGGACTTTCGGCGTTGGTGATGCATGGAGGCTATTATGTGTGATTGGTTGGGGTTAAGAGGTGAGGTGAGCCCGAGGGAGCGCCAGGGGTTCACTGGTTGGCTGACTTGTTCGGCTCAGGTCCCTTGGCAGCGCAACGTGGGTTGGTGATGGAAACGCGGGGTCCTACCCAAGAGGAGAAGGTGAATTGGTGTCCGTGTCGTCCTTGATCACGTCTGGGTCCAAAGTTGAGAGAAGCTGGGGATCCCTGGAAGGGGGAGGAGTGAAGAGTTATTCAAAACTTTTGTTGACCAACAAGCCCACAAGTTACTATTCGTGGAATGACGAATCCGTGTAAGTGGGTGTCGTGCTGGGTGGCAAATATGTAAGCTGCAAGAAGAGAATTTTCTTGCTCGTGCTTGTTGTTCCTGGCGCTGTCGTGGGACTGGAGAGTCTGAGGGAAAGTGCGCAAACCGATAGCTTCAACGAACGACTTCGGGAGACCAAACGAGGGTAGTGGTGGTGTTAGACAAGTAGGACGGGAGGAGGACAAGGAGGACAATCGACCGGCTATTAAACCCGTAAGGTGTAACAGGTGCAGGTCAGTTGCTTTATATGTCGCCGTCAAGTCGCGATGGGGTTGCGCTAGTGACCGGTTTGTTTCCCAGTTCACAGTCCAGGGAACAGGCTTGGACGGTTTTGCGGGGCCCCGGATTGTGCGAGTGAGCTACTGTCCCGCTATTGACTTGTTTACAGCCGGAGGTGGGGATGGAGTCTGTAGCTGCTGGTGTTTCGCTTCTCTGGGTCGACAAGTGGGTAGAACAGGATAGCCGGTGGTGGCACAGATGAGGGGAGTCGGCACACGGTGTTGAGTGTTTCGTTCGGGATTTAGCTACGGGTACGCCGTGTCGTTCGAGAACAAGGTTGGGCAGTCCGACTACGTATGTGTTGTTGTCTTGGGTTCGGTTGGCAGTTGTGTTTGAGCGGACGTCAATTGGCGTCTGTGGATGTAAGTGTGGTGAGGTGAGGTAGCTGCACAGTGTTGTCTTGATGCTATTCCCGTTGGCTGCTGCAATGCTGATGGGATGATGGAATTCCCTTGCTAGGTTGATGTTCGTTCTTGAGCGGAGGGTATCTTGAAGAAAAAAAGACTAGGAGGGAGGTACAATGGGGGAGAGGAACTGGCGGACGTCTTATAATAAGAAATGATAGAACAAGTGTATTGCGTGGTGTACTTGGGTAAGGAGGCCAGGTGCTTGGTATCTGCGCAAGGATGACTCTTTACTAGGTTGTCACTGAACGAGACCTAGTTTGTAGCCTGTATCTATCTGCCCCTGTCAGTCCCCTTTTGGCCCTTTTTTGGCCCCGGCTGCGCTTTTAGCACACAATCCGCCGTGTCTTCGTCTGTGATCTGGAGTCTTGCCCGAGAACGGAGATCAGCAGGGTTGGGATGTCGACCAATCGTCTTTCACGGTTGCTTGAACGTGTACAGTGTGTCGGTATGACTATATGGAGCCTGTGCAGTTGCACTTTATCTGGCCCGTCGTATCTCTATCTCTCCAGCACTTTCACTTTTTAATTTTTATTATCTGAACTCTCGCCAAGGGTTGAGGTTCGATCGATTGGCCTCATGTCTCCCCTACCGCAGTCGATGGTCAGTCATTCTGTGGATCAAAGAGGAGAAATAAAAGGAAAGAAGCGATCTGGACTTTCTATAGAGACCAGTAAGGTCCTCTCTATGACGCTCGCTGTTCTTGTCGCTGCTTGGAGTGGCTGACTGCTGTAGCGATTTGTAGACAAAATCCACAGGTCGTCACCGGTTGCGCGTTGGACCAGGTTCTTGTTGGAAGGTGGGGTCCCAGTGTCAGTTGAAGCTTCCTCAGTTGACGACAGAAGTTTTGGGGTGAGGGGGTGCTGAACACTTGCACTGCAGGGATTATAGGGGGTTTCTGACACTGTGTTGGCTGTTTTTAGGGGGGGTGGGGGAGGCGGAAGAGGGGCCGACAGGACTGACTCCAGGAATAGGGCAGCTTGGTTCTGTCCATTTCACTCGCATTCTTTTCGCAATCAAAAACTCTCCGCCGGTCATATTGGCATGGAAAACTCTGAAAATGAGCACCCGGACCTCAGCTTACCGACACCGATGAAGGGTCCTGTCCCCGCCTGTTCTGTCTCAACAACCGAGCCCTGCGGTCCCGAGCCCCTGTGACAAAAGGTGTGGGGGTGATGGCGGAATCTGCGAATGACACGGTTGGCAGACAGGCACCTGGATGGCCAATGTTGCCAGAATGTTGTGATATTTTCCATCCAAGGTCCATCGGCTTCCCTCCTAGACTCACAGGCTTCCATCTAGGTCTACTGGGCTGAATGGTACGGGGTCCTCACAGCCCAGAGGCCGCAAAGGTGCTTCGGATGGCTCCGTGTCAACAATCCTACTTCATTGTTCACTCTGCTTGGTTCACCACTTTCCTATGGCGGCAGGTAGCAAGCTTGTTACGACATTCACGTACCTACTCGGCCCTCGGGCTTGTTGACGATCCCGTCCTTCGTGTTTAGAGACATTCGCTGTTTTAGTGATCATCACAGGTCCATCTCCCGTCCGTTAAAAGAGTGGATTACAGCGACGCTCGCTACCTTAAACTTGGGTTCCAAGAGGACTTTTAAATAGACTGTACAGTGAGAAGCTGAATGGCCAGCGTAGACAGCAAGGTGCTCCATCCCACCTGGAACCCGATCACAAAGACAGGAGACCTCCATCATGATCCCACTCGAGTTGAGGTGATCACGGGCCTCGGAGGTCTCAATCGCCTACTCAAGAGCCTGGGCTTCTTCCACAGTGCTGAGGTATGATCTCCGTCATCACTCCTCCCGAAATGCCCGTCTTTCCCCCACATACGCATAGCCTTCCATCTTCAGGTCACCACCAAACACCAAGACCACGCACGCACTGCTACACGTGTGTCGAGGAGCTGATGTCGTCGCCCCAGATTGAGCCTCTTCAGTGTGCTGCCAAATCCTTGCTTCTTTCTCACAGCCTTAACCTGACATTCAGTCTTTTTGGACACTCCACACACACCTTTAAGCATACCCTACTTTTTGGGATTCATCCTCGTCCCTGCTGACCGCTCACCGGTTTACTCGTCGGTTAGGTATGGAGTCCACCCTATGGGGGTCTCGCTTACAGCTAGCCAACCGACTCTCATCGTCCCTTTGAGAGTCGGATTTTTTACATATAACGTGCAAGCTCTGTAACGGTCAGAATCTTTAATAATCTGTTTTTCTACTAAAATATAAGTAAAAAAGATGGTAAAATATTTAAATTGTTCGTCTCAATTGCGCGCATTGAGCAATGTATTTCTTTTATAATCAAATTATTATAATGTATTATTATAGTATTACAAAGCCTTTATAGCCCGTACTTATAATATAATATTTAACTCCTCCTCTTCTTTCTCTTCCCTTTGTAAATTCCTATCATCATTAGAATCGTCGTTTATAATAACTATTACCCTTGTACAGCTTACGGACACCTTTAGCTTCTTACCCGCTACTATTATAATTGCTATAGTAACCTCTTCTTCGTTAGAATTTGTATCGATAGCCTTTTCCTTCCCCTTCTTAGACTTCTTTCTAGGAAGGTATAGTGTTAATATAGACAGTCCAGACGATGGCCCAATTCGTGCTACTTATGTGCCTACTAGATGGGCGTACTGCGGTATAGCTGGGAATTTACTAAGTATATTTATACCTTCGTTACCTAAAAAGAATTCAACTGACGAGGTATTTCCTCTACGAACCTTTTTAGCCTGCTTTTTATTGTATATGTAACGGGTCTGAACGAATATTGCACAGCGAGCAGTCGTATAAGGTTAAAATGCTATATTTAACAGAGAAAGCAAGAGAGGAAAGATTGTACTAGAAGGGTGTAGTTGAAAGAAGGTTTTGTGCATATGCGCACGGGCTAGGCAGTTATGCGGGTCTAGCTAACTAGAGGGCCCGCATCCTTATCGATAAGGCAAGTACCCTATCGATAAGGATAATACGGTTTGGCAATAGCTAAGTTTAACCCATAGGCTCTAGCCCTATAATATTACTCCCTTACTCCCCCTTAGGAAGTACTGTATAAAATATATCGTAGTTAATTATACGAGAAATAATTAAAATCCAGTACAACCGTACCTAGCCAAATGCCTATTTAAACGGGAAAAATTAATAATACTAAAAAGAACAAAATTTCTCTATCTGAGCCACTAAATAAACGCTATATAACTACTTGCCTACTACCCAAGTCAGTAACGAGCGTGCTTGCTATTATCTTTATAGAGTTATACTTAAAGGCTACGGGTATTAAAACTAAATTAGGGAATATATTTAGACTTTACCTATTCAGGAAACGCTCCGTAGAAATAAAAATCTATACCTGCGATAGAATATAATTAAAATTGTTACTTAATATTTTGTATTGCTCTATTTCTCCTACTAATAGTAATTACTAACCCCCCTCGCTAGGGAATAGCTTTAGTAATTCTTATACCTACGAAATTAATACCTATTCCCTCTATCAGTTATATTATAAATAAGTATTATTAATTATAATTAGGCGGCGAATGGTACTAC